CCACCTCAGCCTCCCAAAGTCCTGGGATTACAGGTGTGAGCCACTGCACCAGGCTAGCCCTCCATTTTTATGCATTCTTTCAATATGCATGCTAGGTTCTGGAATACAAAATGGGTATGCAACAAACCAGCCCCTCCCTAGGAGGCTTGGTATAGAGGGAAGAACTGGCCTGAAACTGAGCCAGAGGCCTGCAGAGAGAAGTGAAAGTGTTGAGTATCTGTGAGAACAAAGTGAAAGGATGATGCGTTGTGACTTGGAGGGGCTCTGGGCTCTTCAGGAAGAGAATGGGGAGGAGTATTCTGGGCAGATGGAATAGTTTACACAAAGATGAGGAGGTATCAAAGAACCTGATGTGTTTTTGGAGTTTTGTGGAGTTTAGTGTCACTGATGATGGAATGTAAACAGAAAGAATGATGGGAGATGATGCTGGAAAGGTAATTTAGGCTGGGCGCAGTGGCTCATGCCTGTAATCCCAACACTTTGGGAGCTGAGGTGGAAGGATCATTTGAGCTAAGGAGTTTGAGACTAGCCTGGGCCACATAACAAAAAAATCAAAAAGTCAGATGTTGCAGCACACACCTCTGGTCCAGTTACTTGGGAGGTTGAGGCAGGAGGATTGTTTAAGCCCAAGAGGTTGAGGCTGCAATGAGCCATGATGATTGCACCACTGCACTCCAGCCTCGGTGACACAGCAAGGCCCAAAGAAAGAAAGAAAAGAAAGAGAGAGAAAAGAAAGAAAGAGAGAGAGAGAGAAAGAGAAAGGTAATTTAGGATATGACCTCCAAGAAGAAGAAAACTAACATATTATTTTATTTAGTCCTTACAAAACCTTCCAGATTTTACTGCCTCCACTTTGCCTGTGAGGAACCTAAGGCTTGGAGAAGTTACATGACAAGTAGAAGGAAGCAGAGGCTGGGAAGAGTAGGGAGAGGGAGAGGGATGAAGAGATTCCGGATAATGGGTACAACAATACAGTCAGATAAAAGGAATAAGTTCTTGTACTTGGTAGTATGCTAGGAAGACTATAGTTAACAATAATAGCCAGGCGCGGTGGCTCACGCCTGTAATCCCAGCACTTTGGGAGGCCGAGGTGGGCAGATCACGAGATCAAGAGATCGAGACCATCCTGGCCAACATGGTGAAATCCTGTCTCTACTAAAAATACAAAACAATAGCCGGGCATGGTGGCATGTGCCTGTGGTCCCAGCTACTCAGGAGGCTGAGGCGGAAGAATCGCTTCAACCCAGGAGGTGGAGGTTGCAGTGAGCTGAGATTGTGCCACTGCACTCCAGCCTGGCGACAGAGCAAGACTCCGTCTCAAAAAAAAAGAAAACAAAAAACCCCCACAATAATATATTGTATATTTCAAACTAGCTAGAAGAAAATAATTGGAATGTTTCCGTGACAAAGAAAAGATAAATGTTTGAGGTGGTGGGCCTGGCCCAGTGGTTCATGCCTGTAATCCCAGGAAACCAATGTGGGAGGATTGCTTGAGCTCAGGAGTTCAAGACCAGCTTAGGCAACATGGCAAAGCCTCTTTACAAAAAATATAAAAATCAGTCAGCTGTGGGCCGGGCACAGTAGCTCATGCCTATAATCCCAGTACTTTGGGAGGCAGAGGCAGACAGATCACTTGAGTCCAGGAGTTTGAGACTAGTCAGGGCAATGTAGCAAAACCCCATCTCTACAAAAAATACAAAAAAATTAGCCAAGTGTGGTGGTGTACGCCTGTGGTCCCAGCTATTCAGGAGCTGAGGTAGGAGGATCACCTGAACCTGGGAGGTGGAGGTTGCAGTGAGCCAAGATGGTGCCACTATACTCCAGCCCGGGCAACAGAGTGAGACTTTGTCTCAAAACAAACAAACAAACAAAAAAATTAGCAGGGTGTGGTGATATGCACCTGTGGTCCCAGCTACTTGTGAGGCTGAGGTGGGAGTATCAGTTGAGCCTAGTAGGTTGATGCTGCAGTGAGCCATGATCACATCACTGCACTCTAGCCTAGGTGACAGAGTGAGATTCTGTCTCAAAAAAAAAGTAAATTAAAAATGATATGGTGGATAGTTTCATTACCCTAAATTAATTATTATACATTGTAACCAAGTATCAAAATATCACATGCACCTCAAAAATATGTATAACTATTACATATAAATAAAAACACTCACTGAGGTCTTGGGCTCCAGAGTCCTAGGTTTCATTCCCAGCATCTCCACATGTTTGGTACACTTAGTCCCCTATCTCTTCCTGGACCTAGTTTCCCGTTTGCTAAAAGGGAATGATGATACCAGAGCCTAATTTGTTGTTAGGAGAAGATTAGAAAGATTCACTTTAAAAGTCCATGGGTATGCAAAGCATCTTGATAACTTACCTTGAAGAGGAGAAAAAAATAAAAACATAAAAATAAAAATAAAAGTCCATGGATAATAAATGTTAGCTTTTTTTTTTTTTTTTGAGATGGAGTTTTGCTCTGTCGGAGTGCGGTGGCGGGATCTCGGCTCACTGCAACCTCCACCTCCTGGGTTCAAGCAATTCTCCTGCTCAGCCTTCAGAGTAGCTGGGAATACAGGCATGCACCACAACACCTGGCTAATTTTTGTAGTTTTAGTAGAGATGAGTTTTCGTCATATTGGCCAGGTTGGTCTCAAACTTTTGACCTCATGATTTACCTGCCTTAGCCTCCCAAAGTGCTGGGATTACAGGCTTGAGCCACCATGCCCAGCCAAATGTTAGCTCTTAAGCAACAAAGTCAGGATTTACCACAGATATGCCTGAGTTCAAAGTCCTTGTGCTTTTCATGTATACCCTACTGCCTCCATTGATTATGAAGGATCTTATGCTCAATGCAAAGGAGAGTCTGGATCTATCTCATAGAAACAGGAAGCACTAAAGTTCTTTAAAAAGGGGAGTGATTTGGGCTCACCACATATGTTTGCAAGATCACTGTGTGGAGAGGGGTCTAGGGGACCAGGACTAGGTGAAAGGAAAGGAGAGAAATGGAACGGCAGGCCAGGCACAGTGGCTTATGCCTATAATCCCAGCACTCTGGGAGGCTGAGGCTGGTGGATCATATGAGGCCAAAAGTTCGGGCCAGCCTGGCCAACATGGTGAAACCTCGTCTCTATTAGAAATCCAAAAATTAGCTGGGCATGGTGGTGGGCACCTCTAATCCCAGGTACTCAGGAGGCTGAGGCAGGATAATTGCTTGAACCCAGGAGGTGGAGGTTGCAGTAAGCCTAGATTGCACCACTGTACTCCAGCCTGGGTAACAGAGCAAGACTCTAATGCTTCCTTCTAATGTTATGGAAAGAAATCCCAGGGTTCCTGGAGGTCCAGAAACTTCATAACTGACACTGATTCTAATCTCAGTAAACATAAATTGTGGTCTTTCATATCTTTCTTCTCTCCCAAGCTGAGAGCTTCTTGAGTGCAGGCACAGTCTGACTGTGGCCCTGGTGATGTACAATGAGCATTTCCCAAATGAATGACAGACTGTCTTCCAGCGTTCCATGCACACACTGTCTCCCTCATTGCTCACTGCTGCAGGAAAGCACTCACCAGGATCCCACCATTGCCCAGTCCTTCTGCAAGCCCTCCAGCCATCCAAAGTGGGGAAGATTCTCCTACTCTGGTCCACCTTCTTTTGCATCGACCTTAAGTGATTATGCGGGCACAGTTTATGGCTTGGCCACCAGAGGGCTATTCTCAGTGCTCAGGATTTTCGAGAGCAACTTCACAAGGCTTCTTCGACGTAGCCAGCATTTGGAGGCAGATTCTTTTGTTAGTTTCAGACTGAATCTGGGCGCCTGTCCGTTATGAGGATCTGATCATACGGCGCCTTTAAAATACCACTTGCCCTGCTATATCGGGAAATTTATTGGGAAAATGCTATGTTTTTTCTTCCAGAGGAAAGAAGGGGGATGGTGGGGGAGGAAAGGCTGATATTACAATAATCTGCCCCCTGCAGGACTTTTGAGGGGGGAAAGGTCCCTGGGTAAAGGTGGCACAAAGACCACCCAGGGCTTCAGGCTTGCCTAGTTGGGGTGCTCCAATCCAGCCTCAGCCCATCCCTGGTCACCTGATCCTTCAAGCTGAGAAGCTCTGGACTTGGAAGACTGCTTGGGCAAGCCGCAAAGCCTTTGACTTCAGCTGCCTCATCAGTAAGACACTCACCAACCACATCTGTCTCAGAGTCATGTCATGGTAAATGAGCAAACGTGTGTGAAAGTGTGTTAAAAAAAATGTGGAGCCCTGTGGAAATATAAGACATGTTTATCTTGCTCTCACCACTTAGATCACTGTCCAGGGTTAGGATGAACACAAACAATAGCAAATCACAATCATAACAGGTCAAAAGTGGTTTTGAGCACTTGAAGGAAAATGATAGCAGAAAATAACAAGTTTTTAATGATTAAATAGAAATTCCTCTTTAGATTGTGTAAGACAAATTACTATTATTCAACATAAAATTATAATAAAACCTATTTCAAAAATCAGAAGAGAAATAGTCATTGGGACTTTGAATATCAGCATGTCATCCTATAGCCTTACATTTTTACATTTTTGTGTGATTGCCTAATTTATTTTAAAACACTTAAGTCGCTGGATGTGGTGGTTCACACCTGTAATCCCAACACTTTCAGAGGCCGAAGCAGGCAGTTCACCTGAGGACAGGAGTTCAAGACCAGCCTGGCCAACATGGTGAAACCCCGTCTCTACTAAAAATAAAAATAAAAATAAATTAGCTGGGCATGGTGGCAGACACCTGTAATCCCAGCTACTTGGGAGGCTGAGGCAGGAGAATTGCTCAAACCCAGGAGGTGGAGGTTGCAGTGAGCCGAGATCGTGCCACTGTACTCCAGCCTGGGTGACAAAGCAAGACCCTCTCAAAAACAACAAAACAAAGTAAGTCACAGTCACATACTGTTTCTCCTGATCTTCACACTAGAATTGGTAGTTACTTGGTTTAGATTCTCAAGATAGTACTCTTCTTTATCTAACAGACTCTAGATAACCTGAAGGAAGGGAAACACCATCTACGCGTGCGGCCTGCAGACATACCTGTTGCAGAGAGAGCATCTCTGAACTACTGGCGAACATGGAAGTGTATTAGCAAACCCTCAGAATTTCCAATCAAAAGCCCAGCCTTCACAGGTATAATTGGGATATGCTGGCCCTCCCTGAAGCCCACACCAACTTTCCCTTTCCTCACCCTAACAGAAGTGGGTTCCATCCAGAGAGCAGAGAGTGCCTGATTTCTGAGGCAGTCTCTGTCATCTCCTTTGATCTTCTGCCCTGCCACAGGCCCTCTCCATGACTGCTTGCCTGCTGGAACCAACATCCTCCATCACACTCTGCATTCTGGTTTCACGTGGGCAAGGCGAGGCTTCATTCCACTTCCTCCTATTTGTCAGGGAACTCCACCATTCTTTCAAGTTTCCTCCAAACAACACACACAATATCCCCAAATGGTCACTGTCTGATGGGTGCCTCACAGCACATGAGTACAGGGCATTTATGATTACTGATGGGTTTTAGTTTCCAGGAGTGTCAAAAGCATCTATTTTGTCTGTAAATCACTGTGTTTGGTTTGATCAATTATAAAGAATCAAATGGGTAAATGAATTTAATGACTTTGGGTACATAAGTCAAAATGTCACATGTGCCACTGCCCTTCACTCTCTAAAAAAAAAAAAAAAGATTTCCAGCCAGGCACGGTGGCTCATGCCTATAATCCCAGCACTTTGGGAGGCTGAGGCAGATGGATCATCTGAGGTCAGGAGTTCAAGAACAGCCTGGCAACAAGGTGAAACCCTGTCTCTACTAAAAATAGAAAAATTAGCTGGGCATGGTGCCATGTACCTGCAGTTCCAGCTACTTGGGAGGCTGAGGCAGAAGAAACCACTTGACCCTGAGAGACAGAGGTTGCAGTGAGCCAAGATGGTGCCACTGTACTCTAGCCTGGGTGACAGAGTGAGACTCCATCTCAAAAAATTAAAAAACAAGAAAGAAAGAAAAGGAAAGAAAAAAAATAGACTTCCATGCCCCACTCCTTACCACACTACTTCTGAGCCTTAGGGCTACATCTGAAAAGAGAAAGAAGGAAGATGTGTCTAGCAAGTGGCAAGGACAGTCTCCTGGGTGGTCTCTCTAGCATCCTCTAGGGCCACTGGGTCAGGGAAAACCCTGCTGGAATAAGATCCCTGGCTTCTGGGAGGTGGTGACACTGCCTGCATGTTCTCTTCCAGGCCTACATGATAAGGCGCCTCTGGGGCTCATGGACACACCCCTGTTAGACACAGAAGAGGAGGTGCACTACTGCTTCCTGCCACTAGACCTGGTGGCCAAGTATCCCAGCCTAGTGACTGAAGACAACCTGCTGTGGCTGGCTGAGACGGTGGCCCTCATCGAGTGCGAGTGCAGCGAGTTCCGCTTCATCGGTGATTGCTCTGTCCAGAGCTGGGGCAGGGGACGGGTTGATAGGGCCCATCCACCCCTCCCTATCCCATGTCCCACAGAGGCCTATCTCGGTGCTCAGAGCCTCAGGAACTGCCCTAGGCAGAGGTGGTGGAAACATGACAGAGCCTTCCAGGAGGCAAGCCGATTCCAGCATTAGAATCTCTAGACTCAGGGCTATTTTATTCCCTATTTGTTTTGGGATGGCCTGGTTGTAAAAGGGCACAGGAAGGTGTCAGGGGCCACAGGAGTTGGTGCGAAGGGCAGGGTGCTGAGCTGGTCACCAAAGTCAGCTTCTCTTCTTACTCTGCCCTTATGTATCCAACAGGCCTCCAGGCCTCAGATCCTCTTACCATAAAATGAGGAATCCAGATTGTTTCAAAGGATGGTGCTACCTGCTCTCAATACCACCAAACTCAGAATAAGAGGGATGGAGGGCAGATGGTGACAGGTTCTCCCAGAATCACGGAATTGTCTACTTGAGCTAGTGGCCTAAGGAGGGATGAGATTTTCCACCTTGGGCAGAGAGAGCCTCTCTCCCCTTACTGCCCCAGAATGAGCTGTTTGGGATGTGAACTGAATGACCTCTTTGACTCCAAGATGCTACTGCTGTCTAGATAGATAAGGCAGTAAACATTCAAGTCACACTACAGACCCAAATGTCTGGAACCCCAGTCATTCATATTCATAGATTCATAGTCACCTAGAAAGTTGTCTGTGATGTGCTTCTATATCTCCAAGTTGATTCACACAGGACATTAGCGTTGGCTCCATCTCTGCTTCCCATACTGCAGTCCAGGCAGGGACAAACTGCAAGTGCCACCTTCCAGCCCAGGCTCAGCTGGGCCCCTCCTCTCTAAGCAGCAAGACAACTCCCTCTTTTGGAATGACCTGCTCTTTGGTCAAGACTCGCAGGGTAAGTCTCAGGGCCAGCATGCTCACCAGGAGGGCCTGGCTTGGGATCCCAGGCCAAGCCACAGGAGGCCATATCCATGGCCTCATACACAGGAAAGCAAAGTTATGTGGGGTCTTTCATCTTGAAAACCACACACTCAAAGCTAATCTAATCAGGTATGTTGAGAAGTTGTTTCAGAACAAGGAAAACCTAGGATAAGTTACAGCACCAGAAACCTGTCAAAACCAGGACCTCATTTAAACCAGAAATAGCCTCATTAACTCACTGTGTTCCCCTTTGTTTTTCAAGTGAATTTTCTTCGCTCACAGAAGATGTTACTACCGGATAATTTCTCTAACATTGATGTATTAGAAGCAGAAGTGGAAATTCTGGAAATCCCTGCACTCATGGAAGCTGTAAGGTTGTACCGGATGAACATGGGTATGTTGCCAGGAAACCTTGGCCTCCCCTTGACAGTTTTGGTTTGACCTGGAAAAGTCAAGCACAATCTCCCCTTCCACAACCACTTTGGGCTTTAGGGGTTAGTGTTAGAAGTGAGTCTTTTCTGGCTGATTTTGAATCCAAGAAGAGGATTCACAGCCTGAAATCCTACGTGCTGCTCTGCAGGCTCAGCCTTCCCACTGAGGGTGGGGAGTTGGCAACCAGTCAGGGGTGTAGGGCCCCCAGCCTATCCTGGAGCAGGAGGAGCCCAGCCCAGGTGGGAAGCTAGGCTGGAATGTCCTGGGCCTGAGAGCAGGCTTCCCAGGGGTAGGGGAGGTCTGCCCTGCTTGTGAGAGTGGTGGGGACTAGGAGCACCCACTAGCCACTCCCATCCTTCCTCCCCCAGGCACTGTGGGAGGTGTGGGAAATGCTCAGTGCTTCAGTCATCTACCCTCCCCCAAATTCCCTCATCACCTCACCTCGAAACCCCCGGCTGCTGTGCTCGTTTCTGCTTATTCCTGACACTTGCTAACCCCTATCTAGCCCAGGCCTTCGTTCATGCCCCCAGCCCTACCTCATTCCAGCTTGTTCTTCCCTTCACGGTTTTCATCAGGGCCATTCATCATTCCATTTCCCAACTCCACCTCCATGGAAGCTACTGTGCATGTTGTAGGGCACCAGCTACCTGAGCGTGGCTTCAGCTGGCATCCTGAGAATGTGTAGAACTCCATTGCACATCGGAAGCTTTGCCTGGGCATCACCAGACATTTCTCCCATGGCAATCAGGCTTTTCCTTATCTTCAGGCATAGATTTCCCAGCCTTCTCCCAGACAAATAGAAACCTGTCCTCCTCACCGGGCATGGTGGCTTACGCCTGTAATGCCAGGACTTTGGGAGGCCAAGGCAACAGGAGTTTGAGACTAGCCTGACAACATGGTGAAACCCCATCTCTACTAAAATACAAAACTTAGTCAGGTGTGGTGGCATGCACCTGTAATCCCAGCTACTTGGGAGGCAGAGGCAGGAGAATTGCTTGAACCCAGGAGGCAGAGGTTGCAGGAGCCTAGATCATGCCACTGCACTCCAGCCTGGGCAACAAAGCAAGACTCCATCTCAAAAAACAAAAAAAAAGAAAAGAAAAAGAAACCCATCCTCTCGTGGGGAGTGGCATGCTGCAGCAGGTCTCAGGACCCTGTCCCAGGGCCTTACAATCCACTTAAGGCGATATGAGTTCAGTCCCTTCCCTCAAAGCCTTCTCTGTGCCTCAGAGAACATAGATCATTGTGAAATGGTAGTGCAGTGCTTGCTCCACAGAGCAATGCAAAGATTGAGCAAGTGTGTTGACAGCCAGGCTCTGGAAGCTGGCAGCACTTCTCAAACACAAAGAGTGGCTTTAGCCTTCTACAAAGCATTACAACTAAGGGAAACAGCTGTCGTAACCTTGGAGATGAACAGAGCTGACCTCAAATCCTAGCCTGTTCCCTGCCCAGCTTTGCAGTTTAGGGAAAGATACTTCATTAGCCTCTTGGCAGTTTCTTCAACGTGAAATGATGATAGCACTACCCCCTCTTGTAGGGTTGCTCTCAGGATCGGAGATGATCTACGAACATCCCCCAGCAGTGTGCCCATTGGCACATTGTTGCCACTGGAGGAGAGTCCTGAAGGCTGTGATAACTGTGTTCTCTCTACTGTACCCTGGGCCCACTGTAGGACGAAAAGGTCCCACCCATAAGCCAGCAACCCAAATACCCACCCTGAAAGTAATACCACACAGTATGTCTCTGGGGGAAATTCTGCCCAGGAGAGCCAGTAATAGGGGCGGTGAATCCAGAATGCCTGTAGCACTCATTGAGTTTCCAGGCTATGGTTGCCAGTCTTTATCCTTGGATGGTTATAGCAGAGCTTGGAACTAATGAAGACTCCTGCAGAGGCTGGGGCCAGATGGCTGCTTTCCTGAAACTTTTGAAATTCAGATTCTAGTGATATAGCAAATGAATCCCCCCATTCCCAACTCACCTCCCAACAAATAGTTATGACTTCTAAGCCTAAGTATACAAAAAAAATTTGTACTGATTTTGAGAAGATCTCAATTTGGACTGTGCAAGGAAATATCATCCCTCTGAGCTTCCTCAGTATAATGGAGACAGCAGTAGGAACTGAGCCCCACAGCCTCCAATCCAGCTATGACCATGGGGGGGCCTAGGAGTCACCCCTTTCTCCCTGGTACAGGTGGCTGTTCCCGGACCACCTGTCCTCCCCTGAGCCCTGGGAAGGGGGCCCACACAGCCAGCTTGGAGTCCATGAAGCCACTCTACACAATGGCCCTGGGTCTGCTAGTCAAGTATCCAGACTCTGCGCTGGGCCAGCTCCGCATCGAGAGCACACTGGATGGAAGCCGGCTGTACATCACAGGAAACGGTGTCCTCTTTCAGCACGTCAAGTGAGGCCCTCCTCAGGACACGCTGAGTCCCATCCTGCACAGCTCTGCCCTTCCCTAGGAATAACCTGGGCCCTTCCCTAGGAATAACCTGGGCCCTTCCCACTAGCCAGAGGGCAAGTGTGTCCTTGGGGCCAGCGCATCATTTTAGCCACTCCCACACCAGCACCACCACACTACCACCAGGTTAGGGCCTCAAAGGAGAGGGATGGTGCCAAGGTACAAGGGTTGCTAAAGTTCAAAGGCTTCAGACCGTTTCATATTTCTGTCCTCTGCAGTCCATTTCCCTGGTTCTAGCCCTGTGCTAGGTCTGAGGCGACCAGGCCACAGTCACACCCTCAGGGAGCTGGGTACCTCCCCATGTAGACCCTCTGCAAAGGTCCTCCCTCCACTCTTGGGAGGCTTACTCGACACACAGAAAGGCCAGAGCCAGGGGTGAGCCCCTTAGAAGCAGGGCAGGGTGTGCTTCCCAGTGGTGTGGTCCCTGGCCCTTGCTTTGTGGAATGAGCTCAAGTGTCCTCATTAGTGCAGGGGCAAGGAATCCAACCCTGTTTTGTAGAAGGGCAAACAGGTGCAGAACAGTAGAGCAACTCTCTTAGGGTGAGAAAATAGACTGGCACCAAAATCGAAGGTAGAAGTGGGATTTCTGGAGCCCCTGGGAGAGGGTCAGCTGACCCTTAATACTGTCTTTCCCCATATTGTTGTTTTGGGCTCTTTTAGCCCATAAAGTCCATTTCTCTCAGAGATGTCCACCCTGATGTCACAGAGGGTGAAGACAGGTGCCTTGGGAGGGAGAGTTTGAAGAAGGGGGTTGATGTTCAGACCCCAGTATTTTTCCAGGACTATGGCAGGCTGCAGCATGGTGCCTGAGATGTCTTGGGCAGATGTGTATGGGGGCAATAAGGGATTGTTTCCCTGGCCTGACCCTGGAACCTGAAACAGGACCTGGAGACATGAAATTAGTCAATTTAGAGGGCTTTGCTGAAATAAGTCAAGCTCAGCTCCAAAAATGTGACCTGTTGTCCAGGCTTACTCTCCTACAAGATAAACCAGATTTCCAGTTAAAACAAGGAAATGATGTTAATGATGCCTGGTTTGAGCCAGTGTTGTGGCAAGATATCCTAGGCATGGAAAGTTTACAGGCTTAATTCTCTTTGGGTGCAGTGCTGATATTCTTCATAACAGGTCTTTCCTCTGCGCAGGAATTGGCTGGGGACTTGCCGGCTGCCCCTGACAGAGACCATTTCTGAGGTGTACGAGCTTTGTGCCTTCCTGGACAAGAGGGACATCACCTATGAGCCAATGAAAGTGGCTTTGAAAACTTATCTGGAGCCGAGGACTTTGGCACCCATGGATGTGCTCAGTAAATCAGAAAGCTTCTGGGTTTGAATTTAGCATCAGGGGAGTGTCTGGGGAGTTGGAAGGAATAGATGAGGTGGCCAAGAGGAGGAACAATAGATGGAAGAGGAGGAGAAAGCCAGGCCAATATTTTGGGTTTGTACAAAAGGGAAAATTTCATGTTAAGTGCTCCCTCCTCACCTCCAAGGCCACAATTCATCTCGAGCCGCAGATAGAGCTGTTACCCAGTCTGGGGCGATGCAGGACCCCCAGGTCAGGCCTGCCTTGACCCTGGGAGCTGACATGCTATGCTTCTCACAACCACACAGGGAGGAGCCTCCTCTGACAAACAGAGCTGTCCCTGGGTCCATTTAACAGCTGAAGAAGAGTTTCAGAGAAGAAAACTCGTACAAGTTACACAGTGGTCAAGCTGGGGTTTGACTCTGAGTCCAAAGCTAATGTTGTTTTCACCAGCTGCCTGTAACTTCTTACTAGCGAAAATTTGAGGGGCAAAGTTTAAGCTGTATTACTATCACTTAGCAACATTCAACATTTATTGAGTACTCGCCATAAACCAGGACAGGAGTAGACATTGGTGGCACAGAAGTAAGCAACACAGACTTAGTCCCTGTCTTCCTGGAGTTCATGGTCTAATTCTATACATCTTATCTCTTGGTTGTATAATCTAGTTATATACCCTTCATTCATTACAGAGCTCATTAGAAACTGCTTCCCAAACATCAGAACAAGGCCTACATACAGTCATCCCCAGGAAAAGGGTCATGGTTTTCATCCTCCCAGCATACAGCCCCCATTCTCCAGACATGCCTAGAGGCTTGGTCTCATAAAAGTGACAGGGGTTTGATAAGAGTTGGCTCCAGAACATTTGCCAAACCATGAACACAAATACACAGAGAGACTCCTAGCTTCAGTCCGAGTGGCCCCATGAAAAGCCACACACCCAGTCAGAAACCAGAGGCAGTCAGCATTGTAGGTTGACAGGGTCATTAGCCCAGCTTTCCTGAGAGAGGAGGGTCAGGAAAAGAGGGCAGTGACCTTGCCTGCCTCACCACCCAAGAAACGATATGGTGAGCAGCAGGCATGGTCAATGTCAGGGATTTCTGATGCTTCTCAGAGTAGGCAACACAATATAACTGAGGAAGATATTGAGACTGAACATGAAATCTGACCAAAGGGCCCTACCTGCTTTCCCTTCTGGCCATATGATGATGTGTTCTATTTCCTTGATTTCCATAGATGAGTGGACAGCAGAGATCACTGTATATTCCCCAAAACAGATCATCAAAGTATATGTTGGAAGCCACTGGTTCGCAACCACCCTGCAGACACTGCTGAAGGTACTGCTAGCCTTGGCCAACCTGATCCCCCTCTGGCTTCACCACCTGAGCTGCTCTGGGGGCCATCACCTGGCCCTCACACAGCTTCCAGCACCTGCTTAGAACAAGGGCTTTTCCCTGACTGCATTGCCCAAAGTGGGCCAGGTGTAGTAGTTCACACCTGTAATCCCAACACTTTGGGAGGCAGAGGCAGGTGGATCACTTGAGGTCAGGAGTTCGAGACCAGCCTGGTCAACATGGTGAAATCCTGTCTCTACTAAAAATACAAAAATTAGCTGGGTGTGGTGGCACGTGACTGTAATCCCAGCTACGTGGGAGACTGAGGCAGGAGAATCGCTTGAACCCAGGAGATGGAGGTTGCAGTAAGCCGAGATGGCGCCACTACACTCCAGCCTGGGCGACAGAGTGTGACTCTGTCTCAAAAAAAACAAAACGAAACAGAGTACAAGTGGACCGAGCAGCCTGCTTGGAAGCCCCTCCAGAGTTTGGGAAGGCCCTCCGGAGTTTGGGAAAGCCCTCCGGAGTTTGGGTTGGGAGGGGGCCAGCTCTGAGAGGCCTGAACTGAGAAGGAGGTACCTTGAGAGAATGGTCTAGGGGCCATAAAAAGTTGAAGCAGGGATGATGTGCTTCTCCCTGGATGCTCTGCTCCCCACCGTGGTTCCCTGTGACTGATAGACAGGGAGATGGAAATCCCAAAGCCTCTGCTCTAGTGTAGTTGGGAAAGGGAGTGAGAGAAGATTGACCTGCTTCTTACTAAAGACCTAGCCTCTGAGACTGAGTCTGGTGTCCAACCCCCTCCAGTATCCAGAACTGCTGTCCAACCCTCAGAGGGTATACTGGATCACATATGGACAAACCCTGCTCATCCACGGGGACGGCCAGATGTTCCGACACATTCTCAACTTCCTGAGACTTGGCAAATTATTTTTACCATCTGAATTTAAGTAAGTGAAGCAAGGACACAGTAGGATGAAATCATGAAGGCTCTCCCTTAGCAACAAAGGAGACCTGAGTTGCAGCCTTCAGGGAGGAGGTTATATTATTTCCATCATGGGAGCTGTTAGCGATGGCAGCTCCAGGAGCTCATGCCCGCTCCTGCACTCCCACCCTAGCTGCCCAGCCAGACATCTCCTTGTCATTTGCAGGGAATGGTCCCTCTTCTGCCAGGAAGTGGAGGAATACCACATTCCATCCCTCTCAGAAGCCCTTGCACAATGTGAAGCATACAAGTAAGGAAACTTTATCACGACTCCATGTTTAGAGTTTGGGTCTACATTTCTCTTCAAATCCTGTCCTAAGTCCACTTTCTAAAGAATTCTGTTCTCCCTGGGGTTGAGGGAGTGAAGCAGGCCCATGATTGGCCAGTGACCTAAGCAAAACCCTTTAAGATCCCCTTCTTCCCTGCTGTCTAGCATTAACTCCCAGCCAAAAGGCAGACCTGACCAACAGGCCGATGGCCTGATGGAAGTCTCTGCTCACTAACCAACCCCTCTGGGTTTCTGCAGGTCATGGACTCAGGAGAAAGAATCTGAAAATGAAGAAGCTTTACCCATCAGGAGGCTGCACGTGGTGACAGAAGGGCCAGGGTCACTGATGGAGTTCAGTAGAGACACTAAAGAAGTAAGCTCCAGCCTTCTCTGGTTGGTGTTTTCCTCAAAAACCACTACCACCGGGCTCAGGGTGGAGCAGGGCAGGCTCAGCTACTGAGGGGTACAGCAAAATAAGAGCAGGGCCTACATGGGTTCTTAGGACAGGACATGGCTTCTGAACCTTGAAGGAGGCACAGGAACTTACTCGCCACTTGTGGCCTGGGATGCTAATTGTATCTCCTTTTGGAGTGACAGGCCACTGCGCTGGCACCACCCCCACTCAGCCTGAGCAAAGTTCAAATGGATGACCCCTGTTGGGGATGAGATTATTCAGAGAGCAAGTGAAGTCTTAGAGGCCCAGCTTATTTGATCTTGGGCAAGGCATTGATATCCATGCCCAACATAACGAGAGTTACTGTGCCCCTCCCTCCCCAGACCACAGCCTACATGCCTGTGGACTTCCAAGACTGCAGTGATAGGACTCCATGGAACAAGGCTAAGGGAAACCTGGCCAGGTCCAACCAGATGGAGGAGGCTGAGCAGTACACCCGGCCCATCCAGGTGTCCCTATGCCGGAATGCCAAGAGGGCAGGCAACCCCAGCACATACTCACACTGTCCTGGCTTGTATACCAATCCCGGACACTGGGGGAGACACCCTGAGAGCCCCACCAAGAAGAAATGCACCACAATCAACCTCACACAGAAATCTGAAACCAAAGACCCTCCCGCTACTCCCATGCAAAAACTCATCTCCCTGGTGAGAGAATGGGACATGGTCAATTGCAAACAGTGGGAATTCCAGCCACTGAAAGCCTCCCGGAGCAGCCCCTTGGAGGAGGCCACCCTGCAGCTCCCCTTGGGAAGCAAGGCTACTTCCCAGCCCAGCACCTCAGCTGCCTGGAAAGCCCATTCCACAGCCTCAGAGAGGGATCCAGGACCACAGGCAGGGGCTGGAGCTGGAACGAAAGACAAGAGGCCAGAGCCAACCTTTAAGCCATACTTCCCCCCAAAAAGAGCTGGTACCCTGAGGGACTGGAGCAAGCAGAGGCCCAAGGAGAGAGGTGAGTCCTGTCCCACCTTGACCTAAGTCTTATTCACAAGAGAAGGCAAACTCCTTGGCCAAGATGGCAGAGCAAGTTAGTGACAAAGGAGGACTAGAGCCCCCCTTTCACCAATGCTATCTCTGTGCCAGGCAGCACAGAAATGACTGGCACACTGGCATGGCTGGAGGGGCCAGGAGAATACATATGGTGAAGGGATGAGCCCTGTGGGAAGGGGGCAACTATGAAGTAGGAGCACAAAAAAGACTGAGGGCTGGGGAGTCAGCAGGGGAAGGAAGAAGTCCAGGGTGTTTGGAAGCACAGGGCATGGGTCTAGCTGGAGGACAGGGCTTCAAGTACAGACATGATAAAAGATGAGGCTGAAGACAGAAGTCTTCAGGGCTGGCCTTGTGGGCAGATTCAGGACATGGTACTTCGTTCTGCCCAGGACGGGAGTGAGCAGCCTCTGAAAGATTTTTAATAAGAACACAGGGTCAGGTGTGCCGATCAGAAAGTTTGCTCCAGGAGCAGAGGAAATGCAGCAGGAGGCTGGGCATGGTGGCTTAAGCCTGTAATCCCAGCACTTTGGGAGGCCAAGGTGGGCAGATCACAAGGTCAAGAGATCAAGACCATCCTGGCCAACATGGTGAAACTCCGTCTCTACTAATGCAAAAAAAATCAGCTGGCCATGCTGATGCACACCTGCAGTCCCAGCTACTCAGGTGGCTGAGGCAGGGGAATTGCTTGAACCCAGGAGGTGGAAATCGCAGTGAGCTGAGATCATGCCACTGCACTACAGCTTAGGTGATAGTGTGAGACTCCATCTCAAAAAAAAAAAAAAAAAGGAAATGCAGCAGGAGCTAGGTGTTGGAAGCCACCTGGAGTTCTTCCTAGGCTGGGGAAGCAGGCTAGGCAGCTGGGGGAAGGAAGGAGGGATGGGCCAAGGAGGAGCCAGGTTTCTAGCCTGTGTGACTGCAAGGGGATGGTGGGTCCTTAGGTTTGGGTAAGAGAAAGAGCAGAGCTTGGGGAAGGGCACATACTGAGTGTGAAATGCCAAGGGACATCCAGGTGAAGCCCAGGAGACAGCAGGGGCTACAGGGACTGAGCTGGAGAGAGCATGTGTGGCCAGCAAAGGGGAGGTGGCCAGGGAAGTGTGCTGAGAACCGCTGTGCCAGGCTTTTGCCTCTGCTCCCTCAAAGTCCTGCCTGTGGTATTCTGTCACCTTCCCTATTAGTAGCTCCAATCCTGCTTGGATGGGCCTTCTTGGACTCTGCCTGTGAGCTCTAAGTTGGTCTGTCAAGCTTGGGGTGAAAAATGTCCACTCTCTGGACATGCATCGAAGGCTTGTCCCTAAAGCTCTCAACTTACACTTTTATAAACATTTCCAGCCCTCAGCTGGGTAACTGTCAGCCCCATTTGATACCAGACTTCATTCAACAGAGGAATTTGGAGTTTTTTGGAGTCCCAAAATTTTCAGGATTTGGCTTGCAGTGATGCCAGGACAACGAAGAGAGGAGAGGCCAGGACAGGACCGTGCCAGCCCAGGGTGTCACTTCTGAGAAACTGGAGATAGCAACAGTTGCAAGGCTGGGGTGATTAACTGTACTGGCCTGTCACCAGAGGTCCCCTCCCTGCTTGGGCTCTGAGGTGGCTTAAGGAGAGCCCCTGCTTATGTAGATTTCATGGTAATTGAAGAAAAGAATTTAAAAAGCCTAGATGTGGTGACTCACACCTGTAATCCCAGCACTTGAGGCCAAGGTGGGCAGATCGCCTGAGGTCAGGAGTTCATGACCAGCCTGACCAACATGGAGAAACCCCGCCTCTACTAAAAACACAAAAGTTAGCTGGGTGTGGTGGTGAGCACCTGTAATCCCAGCTACTTGGGAGGTGGAGGCAGGTGAATCACTTGAACCTGGGAGGCAGAGGTTGCAGTGAGCCAAGATCACACCACTGCACTCCAGCCTGGGCAACGAGAGCAAAACTCTGTCTCAAAAAAAAAAAAAAAAAAAAATTAAAAAAAAAAAGGAGACCCCCCCTCCCTACATTGTTTTCACAGAAAGCCCTGCCCCTGAGCATCCTCTGACTGATGCCAGTGTGATAGAGAGCCCAGGGGTCATCCTCAAAGTGACTCACCCCCCAGTGGTGGGCAGCGATGGCTTCTGCATGTTCTTTGAGGACAGCATCATCTACACCACACAGATGGACAACCTCAGGCACACACCACCCACAGCCAGCCCCCAGCCCCAAGGTGAGGCTCTGGAGCCAGGCCCAGCCCTGAGCCTCCTCGTGAGGATGCCTGAGCCCCTCCCAGGGTACTTTAGGCAGAGAGTGTCTCCTGGGAGCCCTACCCTTCTCCCCTCCTCATGCTGTCTCTAAGGCCCTAGCTGTTGACAGATGTAGCCACAACCACTTTCCTTCCTCCACAGAAGTGACTTTCCTGAGTTTCTCTCTGTCCTGGGAAGAGATGTTTTATGCGCAGAAATGTCACTGTTTCCTGGCGGACATCATCCTGGATTCCATCAGGCAAAAGGACCCCAGAGCCATCACAGCCAAGGTGGTCTCCCTGGCGAACCGGCTGTGGGTATGTGTGATAGGCTTCAGCCCCTGGGGCACCCTGTACCTTCTCCACCTCTTCCCCTGCCCCACAATAAGTGGTGCAAGGCAAGAGGAAGTAAGCCATGATGGGGGTAAGAGGCCAGGGGCAGAAGAGTGGTGAGACAGGCAGGAATGGGCAAGCAGAGCAGTTGCACGTGGACCAAGCCTTGGCCAAAAGGCAGATTTGCAGTGACAGTGCCTGCTCCCCACCTCTGTGGCTCTGTGGGCCCAAGGAAGTCCCTGATCTGCATCTCACTCTGAGAGGCTAGGAGCTGCCCCAGCCCTGCCTGACTGTGGGCTCTCTTGGCAGACCCTGCACATTAGCCCCAAGCAGTTTGTGGTGGATTTGCTGGCCATCACTGGCTTCAAGGACGACCGGCACACCCAGGAGCGTCTGTACAGCTGGGTGGAGGTGAGGGCCACAATCCCCACGGAATCCACCGACCCTATGGATGCCTCAGATGTGTGTGTCTTGCTGCACCACAGCTGGGCCAGCACTTCTCAGAAGGCTAGACAGGCAGTTTAGGCCACTGCTCCCAGGGAGGGAGAAACTGGATGAAATTAACCAATCCAAGGTAGTCAAAAGCCAGTATTCAGGCCACTGGCTTTTACAGTTTTCCTCCAATGATACCAACTGTGCCTTCATCACTAACAACCCTGGCCACACTTAAGGACACATATCACATGAGCCCAAGCCTTGACTCATATGGGAGTGAGACATTTTCAACCAGTGATACCAACTTCACCTATTTGGCCATGATGTCACCATTTGTGTACATTAATTACTTCCATATTTAAACTACTTTTAAGCATTCTTTACAAAGAAAAAATGTTTAGTAAGGGAAAGTAATGATTAAGGTATTTTTTCCCTTTTCTGATTCCTTAATCTAATTTTAACATTGAGGTGGAAACAATTTAGGCAGATTCTCACTGATCTGACACTTCTATAATCAAGGGCATTATAATACCTTTTACCGTAAGCACGTTAGTATCCAGTTACCATTAGGCATCCAGCTTGTATGTGGTTTGTAAAGGTGAGGTCAGCATGTAGGGCTAGAATGTGGAAAACCAATGGCAGGAAACATGTTTTCAACCCTCCAGTCATTCTGCTCAGTTCCCTGATAACCATTTCTACCCCCACCCTGTGACATGCCCTTGGGCAGAGCTGAGCCCTAAAGCAACAAAAGTCGGTAACAGCCAGGCTTGCCCTGTCCCTGCCCCATGGGAGAACCTACCCACATGGAGCTAGAGTAGGCAACTGGCCAGGAAATCAGAGGTAAGACTGGCCTTTCCTTCCAGCTTACACTGCCCTTCGCCAGGAAATACGGCCGCTGCATGGACCTGCTCATCCAGAGGGGCCTGTCTAGGTCTGTGTCGTACTCCATCCTGGGAAAGTACCTACAAAAGGACTAGGGTGCCCAGAGATGCAGGCCCTCATGCCCCACCCACCAAGACTCATTTTAACTGGACATTGCCCCAGAATGCATGTGCCCACCAAAGGGTACATGTCAGTCTACTTTTTATTATAAAAAAATAAAAGAGTAAATCACATGTCACAGAAATAGACTCCTCTGAGACACCAAAGGCCTAACAACCAGTGAGATAATTTTATACAACTTTATTGAAAGTTATTCAAAAGGCATCAAGTCAAAATAACGAAACTGCCCCAGGAAAAAAGGGGCTGGGCCTGGGGGCCAGGATGGGCAAGCATCAGGGCACAGTAGAGGTGGATCGTCCCCTATGGGAGGTAAACTTGGTTTGAAGGCCAGGGATTGGGGAGCAGCTGCTAGGAGCCCACGTGTGTTCCTCCTGAGGGATAGGGGTAGCCTAGTCACTGCCCAGAGGCACAGGGTGCCCCACCAGCCTAGAGCATGGAAACACCCACCCACTATTCTAACCTATTCTTAACCCACAACTGGGATGGGAGCTGGGGACAGAAGGGATCTGTCCCCAGCTCTTCAGGCTCTACAGCCAGACTCCCCTAGAGAGGCCCCATGCCAGTTTGTCCAATGGCCACAGACATCAGAAAGAGTAGTCAACAGGGCTGCACACAGGCTGGAGGTAGCCCAGGTGTCAGCCACACCCTGGTCACAACAGATCCAGAAGGTAATGTTCCTTGGAGCTGCAGGACACTCGATCCACTGCTTGTCCAGTCCCGGGATCAGACCTGCAAGACCAGGTCAGGCATGAATGCCTGCTTCCCTAGCTCTGAGCCCAGGGCTGTCTGGTGAGCCTCCGGCCCACCCACCCCCAGCTCTACCCAAAGTAAAGGCCTAGCCTGGGCTGGGGAGCGGCTGGTCACAGTTACAGGCCCTGCCTGGGCTGGGAGAGGGCTGGTGGGTATAGGGCAAATGGCACTTACATAGTATAAGTCCTCGATGCCCCCACCCAGGGCCTGCCCTGACACACAGCTGCTGTCAGAGCCACTGGAGCCACTGGCTGACGGGCATTGGGATGAGACCTCTGAGTCCTCAGGAGCTAGGGAGGGAGATGGGTGAGCTGTCAGTACAAGGCCCCAAATCCCTAGCCATGCCCTCCTGCCTCTGGCTAAGCCCAGACATACTCAAAGAGGGCAGGCTGCCCAGCTCCACCTCGGCCTCCAGTGGTGCTTCCTCCAGGAAGTTGGGATACAGAGGACATTGGCGACCCAGAAGAGCTGGGTCTCTGTACAGGTGCAGGTTGAGGGACCCCAGAACAGAGCAAGAGGCAGGGTCTCCAGGAAGGGAGTTTGAGGCCCCCAGGTAGAGGCTGTCAGAGTCAAACGGGGCCACAGCAATGGAGGCCCGAGAGCGAACTTCTGAGTAAGAGAGAGGGTTAGGCTGGGACAGGCCAGAGCCTAGCCTGACCCCAGATCCTGAGGAAAGCAGGGGCCAGCACTGTTGGAGGGCCACAGCTTTCCAATCCCCACCCCCACCCCCTGTAGCCTGCCTGCTACCTCGGCACTTCAGGACATAGTTGACGGTGCGGTCATTGATAGCTTCCTCGCTGGGGGCAATGTCTCGGAAGGCCTTGTTCCCCACACCCATGGACACCATCTCAGCCATGCGCACCTCTGGGTGGAGAGTGGGCATAAGTAGGACACTTCTGGACATAAGCCTGTCCTTGGGCCTCTATCCACCACCTCCCAAATAGGTCTTTCCTATACACCCATATCCAACACATTAACTGTCCTGTGAGCTGAGCCTTTCTAATGCCAGGTGCTCCTCCCAACAATCCTGTGGGGCAGGTGCCATATTCCCCTTTCAGAGATGAGGCCCCTGGCCGGGCGCAGTGGCTCACACCTATAATCACGGCAGTTTGGGAGGTCAAGATGGGAGGACTGTTTGAGCCCAGGAGTTTGAGACCAGTGTGAGCAATAGAGTGAGACCTCATCTCTACGAAAAAAAATTTTTAAATTAGCTAAGCATAGTGATGCATGCTTGTAGTCTCAGCTACTCGGGGCGCTTAAGTGGGAGGACTGCTTGTGCTCAGGAGGCAGAGGCTGCAATGAGCAGAGATCATGCCACTGCACTCCAGCCTGGGTGACAGAGCAAGAACATTTCCAAAAATAAAAAGAGGGAGCCATGAAGCCCCGATACTCAGAGAAGTTCATGTTGTGTCCAAAGTCAGAGGCAGTAACAGCAAAGCTGCCTGGCTTTGAATTCCTTTCTCCCGCACTGGTGGCTGCCGCTGGGCCTCCTACCCGCTTTCCAAGCTTTTCCAGGTCCCTGGGCTCCTGTGGGTCAATGTAAGCTCTCCAGAGAGGGGAGTGTGGGGTGAAGGAAAGGCAGGGACCCACCCTTGTTGTGGACGGCCTGCCTCCAGAGCAGGCAGGATATGTCAGCCGTCCAGGCTTGCTTGATGGCCAAGCTGGAGGCCTGTAGGACAAAGGTGTCCCTGGCCTTCCGGCGGCGGAACCAGATCTCGAAGCGCAGGTTGCTGTCCCCACAGCACTCAGTGAGACCAAGGTCTGCCATCTGTGGCCAGTGAGGAGAGAGGGGCTTGGTAAGGCATGGAGTGGGAAAACAAGTGCTGGGACCCAGGATGGGCAGACCTACCTTGAAGGAGCGCTTGTAGGCAAATGTGTCTACACCTGTGGGCCCATGGCGAGGCTTGCTAAAGAGCAGCAGCTCCTCGAAGAGGAAGATGCGGCGAACGGACTTGTGGCGCCCAGTGCGCACCACAAACTCATCCTGTCGCACCAACTGACCCTGTTCCTTGAGGTTAACCTGCAGAGTTGGGGGCCAGTGGGTGCCAGGCCTCTTTTGCCCTTTTTCCACACCCACCGCCTTGCCCACCAAGGCCTGGGATGACTCACATCACAGCCCTGGATGGCGTCCATGGCCAGTAGGTCATTGCCGTGCCGCAGCTGGAATTGCACGAGGCTCTGGGCCTCCTGCAGTGCGCTGAGCTCCCGTGTGGGACCCCCGCAGGCCCGTGCCAGCTCCTGCAGCAGCAGCGCGTACTTGCCCATGCGCTGGATGGGCTTTAGCAAGTAGGAGGCCAGGTCCAGGTGGTCCCCGAGTGCTTGCTGCTTGTCCTGCGGCCAGGTGGGAGGCCACTGAGTGGTTTGGGAGCATTCCCCATATCCCTTCCTCCTCCTAGTCTCAGGCTCACCTACCTTGAAGAAGGTGTGCCCATAGCAGGACATCAGGGCATCAGAGCGAGGCTTATTCTTGCTGTAGAGCGCATACATCCCAAACTGCACCCTCTACAAGGACATATGGCTCAGCCCCAGTGCAAAGGGGCCAGCTCCCTAAGGCTGGCACAGGTTAGACCACCTTCAGCTTGAGAGGACCAAGATGCCAGTTGATGGCTCCTGGGGAGGCCTCCCCCTATAGACCCGATCTGCCTGCTTTGAACAAAGGGATGATCTGGCAAGAACAGTACTGTGCAGAGGAGTTGTGCCCACAGGCCCCTGAGGAAGAAGCCCCTCGCCCTCAGACTGAGCCCCTGCCTTCAGCTCTGCTTCTCCCATGGCTCTAAGAGCTCACCTCACCTGGGACTATCCTGCTTACTACACTCGGACATTTCCTTGGTAAGCCCCCTTCCTCCAAACGACCTTGCACTCACTCCAGCCCCTCCCCGATTCCTCAGCTTAAACCTCAACCCCTCAAAGGCTTCCTCTAGTGCCAGGTGTCCTGGCATTGTACTTGGGCCCTCTAAAGCGGAGGCCCTGCCCCGCCAGTAAGCATCTATCCTGCTTATTTTCCTCTTAGCCCCAACCATAATCTACAAATGTCTTTTTCACTTCCATGTCTCCTCTACTGAACCAAGGGCACCCTCAGGTGCAAGATCTTGCCAGTCTTGCTCATAGCTGTACCCAGCACAGGGACTGGCACCAAGAATATGCCCAGAAACAACTTAGGGAGTGTGACAAAACAAGCTGGGACCACAGGGCCTGTTGGGCTTACATGGCGCAGGAAGGCATAGGCCACTCGAGGCGGGTGCCGGGTGCAAGCCTCCAGCTCACGCAGGAAGAAGTGGCAGTGAAAGTCCCGCAGCTTCTCCAGGTTGCCAAAGAGGTGGGTACGCTGGCCGCGGAGGCCCTGAGGTACATCGGGGCGATCCAGCTCGGGGAAATAGTGCTCCATTGTGTACTCTAGGGCCCGGACATACTCTCGCTCTGTGGCCACCATCTCTGCCAGCACCAGCTGCAGCCTACCAGGTATGGGAAGTCAGGACCCAAGACATCTCCTCTCCACTGCCCTCCTGCCCTGCCCACTACCCGCACCTGTTGGGGCTCCCGGGGTCAGAGCTGCCTGGTGGAGGCACAGTAGGGGATGCCTGGGAATGGGCACCTCCTCCAGCCTCTGGTCTGCGGCAGGCACCAATAGTGGCTGCATGGTGGCGGTGGCGGGCAGGTTCACTGAGACTCTGCCCCAGATTCCGATCAAAGCTGTAGGCCTTCCTCAGGGGAGGGTGGGCAGGTGCAGTGGGGACCTGGCTGACACACAGGCTAGCGGTGCTGCCCACCAGTGGTAGCTTCAGTGCAGCCTCGAGCTTTTGGTCCAGGGCCAGCCAGGTGTCCTGGCACCGCGCCCAGGCCCAGCGGCACTCCTGGCGGATGGCCTCTGAGCCTAGACCTGTGGCCAGAGCCCACATCTTTCGGAAATGGGCAGGAGGCAAGTCAGGGTGCCTGGTCCAATGCAGCTGCAGCCGCTGCAACACAACCCCTGGGCGCTCCTGCTCCAGCTCTGCCAACACCTGCTGCCCCTCCTCAGCCCACGTCAAGGCCTGCAACACCAGGGCCAGATAAGCATTAGAGGGGGATCTCACCAAGCCTGCTGGGCACTCTGCTCCTCTACCCACTCCCCATCCCCACAGGATGCTGACCAGGACCCAGCCCCAGCAGCTGGATTTTAGGATCAGACTGAAGGCAAAGGAAGAGACTGCTCACTATACTCAGACACTCAGGCAGCATAACCAGGAAGATCTCAGGCTGTGCTAAGGCTGGGGCTGCCACCCCTCCAGCTACAGGTATCACTTGGAGCCAGGGAGACTCTCACCTACCTCCCTGAAGAGCTGAAACAGCCTCTCAGCATCTGCGAGCCGCTGGCACCGCCTGGCCAAGGCCCTAGAGAATTCAGTCAGCTGGGCTCGCAGGGCCAGAAAGCGTGCCCCAGGGGGGCCCAGCTCAGCTGCCTTCCAGTCAGCCAGTGGCTGCAGAAACTTCTCTCCTTGCCTGACCTGCTCCTGCAGAGACAGAGACTAGGCTCAGCTAGCCAAGTCCACCCAGATCCTTCCCACTGACATATCCACATGTCCCCATCAAGTCTGTCCTGTGGTGGAAGATCTCTCCTTATCTCCCCACTCCCCCCCGCAACATCCACTCCCCTTCGCCACAGCCAAAGTCCCTAGAGAAATTGTGTATCCTCACCATCCTGTCTTGCCCTCCATGCCGGCCCTCTCCAGCTCCACTCTGCCATCCCCAGTGCTTCCCAGGCCTCACTGACTCCACCTCTTGGCACCATTCGGCCACTCTCTGCTGGACTCCTGCTGCTCCTGATTCTCCTCACTCTTTTCCAGTGGCTCCTCCTGCTCCCCTTTTCCCTCATCTAGGCCATTAAACACTGGGGATCCTGAGGACAGTGCCCTCACTCTCCCAGGCACTCTTGCGTGACCAACTTCAAACGTCATCCAAACACCCCCATACCAAGTGATCCTCCCCAGCCAGACCTCTCCTCTGAGCTCCAGGCCCAAGAACCAAGAGCCTTTCTCTCATCCCTCACAGCCATCTCAGGAGCACGCCCAAGACTGGACTCATGAATGCCCCTCCCCCAAGGTGATCTCATCTCCTAGTCTGTCAGGAACAGCACCCATTCATCCTTGCAACATCCCTGTCCCTTACCCTCGCACATGGGTCCACAGCAAATCCCATCAACTTCTCCAACCCATCTTCCCTGCCACTATCCTGGCCAGAGAAGGCACTGTTTCCCACCTGGACTACTGCAACTGCCTCTTCACTGTACTCCCCATGCCCACTGTCTACTCGGAAACTAAGGCAATCTTCCTAGAATACAGATCTGATTATGCGGCCCTCCTGACTAAACTTTACACTGATGGCTACAGGGCCCAGTGATGTGGCCACTGGCCAGGCTTGTCTCACTGCATCTCCTCCCACCCACTCTCCCTCCCTCTCTGCTCTGTATTTCAACCTCACTGGCCTTATGGTTCCTCAGGCATACCACCTTCCCTCCTGCCACAGGACCTTTGCACATGTTGTCCTCCCAGTCTGGAATGTGCCCCCATCCTCAACCCTCTTCTCCCTAATTGACCCCGACTTATCTTTCAACTCTTAGCTCAAGTCACCCCAAAAAAAAGCTATCCTGACATCCTTTCTGGGTAAAGTCTTGGTTATACCCTCAGGCAGAATCACTTGCACTGATTCTCTCCAGAGATCTTGCCTGGGTTTGCAGTCATATGTATGACTGTGATTAATTACAACTGATACCCTCTGTGGGACTGTAAGGTCCAAGAGAGTAAGGGATTGAATTGCCTTCATGCATTTCTGCATGCCTAGTTCCTGCCATTGCGTCTCAATACCCATGGCATAAACAAGTGACCACACATACCTGGGCAACCTGGTACAGCTCCTGAAAAGGGCCTTGGGCCTGGAGCATCATGTCCAGTGAGGGTTCCCCAGGCTCCTCCAGTGCTGGCCAGCCCACCTGCTGCAGCCACACTTCAATCTGGAGGGGCACAAGCAAGGAAAAGTGAAGACAGCTGCTATGGGTGGGGTGGCACACATCTAAGATCAGAGACAGGGCCCACTCTGGGCAAGTAGTTCCAACCTGGTGCAGTCCGCCCTCCTGGGTCGCAAGTGTTTGGACCAACTCTAGGGCCTGTATTCGCTGATTGCTCTGCAGGGTCAGTTGGTGCAGCAATCCATCCACATGGTCATATAGCTCATTGGCCTTGTCCATTGCCGTCCTGGAGTAGGGTACACTGTCTTAGACCCCCTGCCTTCCACCACTCCAGCCTGTCCTGGCAACCACAGTCCTGTCTGGTTCTGAGCTAGCCAGATAGATAAGTCCTGGCCTAGAATATGGTAGGCTGGGGCAGGATCTGGGGGCCGGGCTTGCACACACCTGTAGTCTGGGCTCAGGGTCACCTCTGGGACCTCTTGCTTCAGCCGTGTCAGCTCCCGGCCCCCCTGGCATTGTAGCCATGCCAGCTGTGGTGAGTCTAGCACCTGCTGCATCAGGACCTCTGTCTGCTGTAGCAGCTGACTGACCTCCTGTGATTGATTGATTGGGCAATAAGCAGTGGAGGTGGCCGTGGGAGAGAATGAAGGAGACAGAGAGCATTCATGGAAGGACTGGAAGGGGACACTCACCCCAGGTTCCATGGGCTGGGGCACAGCCTTCATACTTTCAATGGCCCCCTGGAGCAGGACACAAGCCGCCTGACAGTTCTGCAGTAGGGCTTCCAGCCGCTGTGAGCAGGGGCAGGCATGACCAGAGCAGCATGCAGTGTTGATCCCAGGCTTCCTGGGTTCCAGGCCACTGCAGCCAGCTTTGTCCTGTTCAAGCTAGCCCCAGAGAGGCTCCTCCACAATCCCAAGTTGCCAATTAACTGCCCCCACACCCTGCCCAGTGCACTGACCCTCCGGAAATCCAGCCAGGCCTGATGGCAGTAAGGCAGGCCTCCTCCTAGCCAAGTGGGCAGCCCGGCCATTGGGATGTGGGTCAGCAGGCTCTGATGACAAGGCAGCTGCTCCAGCTATTGAAGAAGAAGGTGTTGTGACCCAGGCCTACGGGGAGACACCCCCACCTCCACCCCTAGTCAACTGGGCTCAGTACCTGCAGCCCGGAAGGCACCTCCTCCAGCAGCATGCTTCCCACTAGCAGCACCTGGTGCAAGGCCCCTGGGGCTGCTTCCTGCAAGGAACCTGAGCTCAGCCCTATCCCCAACTCTACAGAAAAGGGCACGGTGGCTCAGGCCTGTAATTCCAGCACTTTGGGAGGCGAGGTGGGCAGATCACCTGAGTTTAGGAGTTCAAGACCAGCCTGGCCAACATGGTGAAACCCCCTCTCTACCAAAAATACAAAAATTAGCCAGGCATGGTGGTGGGCGCCTGTAATCCCAGCTACTTGGGAGGCTGAGGCAGGAATATCACTTGAACCTGGGAAGTGGAGGTTGCAGTGAGCTGAGATCGTGCCATTGCACTCCAGCCTGGGCGACAGAGCAAAATTCTGTCACAAAAAAAAAAAGAAAAAGAAAAAGAAAAAAAGGAAAGGAATGAAAGGAGCTATAATCCAGTACTCACTTGTAGTTGGCTGAGCCCAAAGAAGAGGGAAGAACTTGGGGAACAAATTTGGGCATCTATTAGCACCGTCAGTCCCAGGGCCTGGACTTCAGGCCTAAAGGAGTGAGCTTCAGTTCAGTACCGGACTCCCAGTCCTCACAGCTGGCTCAGGCTCAGTCACCCAACCCCTTCCCTCAAACCTGGGGATGCTTCTCAGGTAGAGTAGGAGGCGGATGAGTTCCTGGCTGCTGCACTCGGGCTGAAGCCAGGCTGGACTGTGGGCACACAGAAGCAGCACTGCTCGACCTTTCACATCCCGAGTCCCTGTGGGGAAGAGGCAGTGAACTCCTGCACTGTTGGGCTACCTCACCTCCACCGCCTCTAGGGCCTCCCAGCTACCTGGCAAGGTGGCCATGCCACTGGCCAGCAGCTCCCAGCAGAGGTCTTGGGCCAGGAGGCAGTCAGCAGGCTTAGGGAGGCTGGATCCACTGGGGGCTTGGGAAGGGAAATGACTTAGTTCTGCCTTGGGCCACCTATCTAAAGACCCCTCCTTGGACCTGGGCTTCAGCCTCAGTAGAGTCAGAGACCTCCAAGGTCTCGACACTCATCTCCAGGTATCCCCATTCCTTTCCCAGACTTCCCTAGCCCAGCCTCCCTTACCTGCCTCCAGCAGCTTTGACGATGTGTCTGATAAAGGGTCTCCAAGGCCCACAGGATCACTGTCCAATCCCCCAGGGCTCAAGCCAGATGGCATCGCCCTGCTTGGATCTGGGTCCCCTACCAACCCTGCCCCTGGGCTGTCACTCTCACCCTGTGCCAAGCTGAGATGGGAGGACATGGGGTATATGAGGCTCTCCACTCCAGAGGGGCCTGGCCCTTCTGAGAGGACTGAGGAGCTTTCTACTATGCCCCTCTGGGTATCCCCTGATCCATCTGCAGCCGGCGGTAACTGAAGCTCCCTGGACAAGTGGCTGTCCTGTAGCCCCTCATCCTGGGCTGCCCCCGCTGATGGTCCTGGAGCACCTGTGTCCTTATTGTGCATCTGGGAAGCAGATTCCTCCTCTTCCCAGGCATCCCTGAAACTGCACACAGCAAACCTCCAGTCTGTGGCATGGCCCTGGGAGTCTGGGGACTCATCCCCATCCTCCAGGGACCTTTCCATTACGCCCTCCCAAAGGTGGGCCTGCTGGGGGCCAATGGGAGAGGGCTGGGTCTCGGTGTGAGCCGGGCTGAAGACAGTCGAGTGGGACTCTGCAGGCAATGCAGGCAAAAGGTACTGGGCCGCAGGAGGTGCCAGTCTTGGTGCCAGAGCACAAAAACTTCAGTTCAGGCCTGAGGAGAGGGAAGAACGTTAGGGGTGTCCCTCTGAGCAGGTCCTCCGTCGAACGCCCAGGGGCCTCTTTCCCGTGTGTCCCCACTCTCAGCGTCCTCACCGCCACGCTGTGAAGGCCCACGCCCGTTGGGGCGGCCCCACCACAGCACCACGCTGCCTCGCGTTCGCGCTCCCGCCGGCCTCACCGCGAGGCCCTGGCACGTGCCCCCCGTCGCCCGCTGGTGACACTCACGGCCCCGGGCCGCGCCGCGAGGCACCGCGAAGCCGGGGAGACTTCGAACGGACCGCGGCTTCGACGGCGGGTACAGCGCGGTCGCGCGGCGTCACGTGACGCCGCCCCCGGGCCGCTGGGGTGGGAAAGCAGGGCCGCCGGGAATCAACGCCTCACCGCCCCCTGGGGGCCGGAGGACGGAGCCACAGCCCGCGCAGGTCCCGACGGGGCACAGCCAGGCTAGCCGAGAGGCCGAGATGCGGGCCCCGCAGCAACCCCCGCCCGCCGCGGTCCGCCCCACGGGCCAGGACAGCCTCCAGCCCCGCCCCGGCGCACCCCTGGGCCCCGCAGACCGCGCGCCCCACCCACGGCGTCGCTGTGCGCGGGTCGGGACAGCGACCAACGGCCAGCAGCTCCACGGTGCCCACTCCCCCGGCCTGGCGTGGACGCTGGAAGCGCTGTCCCGCCGGGAAGGCCGCGGGGGTGCGTGCGGGTGAGTGCGCGGGGGTCGCCGCGGGGCCAGGCGGGGCGGGGCGGAGCGGGGGCTCCCAGAGGCTTCCGCCGGCTGAATGAGCCGAGGAGAGGGGAAGGCCTTCTGTGTAGGGAAGCGGGGCGCTGCCTCAGCTTGGGCACCCAGAGACAGGTCGCTTGGTCCCACGCAGGATGGGGCTGCCGTCGGGGTGGGAGTGAGACCAATGGGTGGAGCTGACCCGGGCCTGCGAGAGTCCACCAGACCCTCCCCCGCTTTGCCATCCTTACCGCCCTCTTCACAAAGACCAGACCAGGAGGCTGGTGCTGAGGTGGGGTCCTGGAGCCAGAGCCCCCAGCCCATGCCTGGCTTCTCCACTTACCTGCTGGGGGCACTCCAGGAACTCTGCTCTTTGAGTCTCACTCTCCTCACCTGTAAAAATGAAAAGTCATTTTTCTCCTGGGGTTGCCATGCAGACTAGGGAAGGCCCCCTGTGTTATACATCCACCCACTGCCAGCTTTTTCAGGCTGTGTTGGTGCCCTGCCTCCCATTTCACCCCCAGTCAGGGCATCCTGAACTGATGTAAGTCACTTGGGTGGCTGTGCGATTTGAGGTCCCTTCGGGGCATGTGGGCTTGGCCTGACACTCCCCAGAATTTGTGGGAAGGTCAGCTCTGTGACCAGGAGAAGGTCCTGAGCCCCAGAGTGTGCCCAGGCCATGGTCCCTGAGGAGATGGGGTACCAGGTGTAACGGCTTCCCTGGTTCTAAGCCCTCTTTCTTGAACCTGGGCATTACAGCAGGCAAATTGGGACCAACAGCAATCTCCCCTAGCCCAGCCCACCCCACAGAGTCCAGACTTCCAGGCAGCTACCGAGGAGCCTTCTTCATGAGCAGGTCAGGCTGCCAGAGGAGAGCCTTGGAGTTGTCTTGCTCCATCCCTAAATCCCAGCCAGACCTCTCTTCCCACCCTCCTGGCTTCAGGAAGCATCATCCAACCTTGGCTCCCTCCCCAGCTCTGTCCCAGGGCCACCCCCACTGAGTCACTGCCTTCTGCTCCTTCCCTCCCCTTCTGCCCACTGGCACCCACCAGCCAGGCCCTCCAGGAGCCCTAAGAGCCCCAGGGGGCAGGGCCTGCTGGCAGGCACACATACCCTTGTGAAAGCCAGAGGCAAACAAGAACCTCAAGCCACAGGCTACAGCTGACCCTAGTACCCTGAGCACAGCTGGCAGATTCAGGGTAGGTACAGCCACACTGAGATAGAGGCAGGGCTAGGCCCTGGTTTCTCCACTCCGCAAAGAATGTGCATTGTAAGCTTCATGGAAACAGAGACTGCATGTTACCCACTTCTGTACTTCCAGCATCCAGCACAGGGCCTGGCACAGAATAAATGCTTTGGGGTATCTGACACCGGTCACATACCCCTGCCCTCCTGAGGTTCCACATCTATGTATCAGATGGAAACCAGAGTCACAAATGGAGACAGATTCAGAGACTCAGCCTGAAAGGAGACAGAAGAGGTAGAGAGCTACAGGATGCATGGCCCAGGATGGCAAAGGTACAGATAGAAATGGGGACACACTGAAGCCTAGTAGGGAATATTGGGGAGCTGGGCCTGGAGCCAGCCTGGGGTGGCTGACCACAGAAGGCTTTGTGGGCTGAGCTTGCAGGACTGAGCAGTGATTCATGGGGCCTGTCTCTGTGGCTCTCCTGGCAGCAGAATCAACTCACAGCAGCCTTTTCCACTGAGATCATAAAATGAGAATGGGCCTCCCTCCCCTGACCCTTCCCCAACTCTCCCTCAGCCTCCCATTTCTTGCCAACATGACTCAATCAAAAATGGGCCGGGCACAGTGGTTCATGCCACAAAATCCCAGCACTTTGGAAGGCCAAGGAGGGCAGATTACCTGAGGTTGGGAGTTCCAGACTAGCTTGGCCAACATGGCAAAACCTGGTTTCTACTAAAAATACAAAAATTAGCCAGATGTGGTGGTGCATGCCTGTAATCCCAGATACTTGGGAGGCTGAAGCAAGAGAATTGCATGAACCCAGGAGGCGGAGGTTGCAGTGAGCTGAGATCATGCCACTGCACTCCAGCCTGAGCTACAGAATGAGACTCTGTCTCAAAAATAAATAAATAAATAAAAATAGGGGGAGGATTCTGGGCCTCAGTGGGCCTAGTGACAACAGACCCACAGTCATTCACCTTACACATCCCTCTTCAGTGTGACCCAAAATACTGAGGGCAACAAATACTCCAGAACTTCCAGATGTCTCTTGCCTTTGGCCTAAATAAACTCCAAACTCCTCGGTATGGCATTCAAGGCCATTTAGAGGCATCACAGCCTTCCCATCTACCTCCCAAACTGGCCTGGAAAACAAATCTGATTACTACTCTAGTCTCACATTGGCTTCTCTTCCTGAAGGCCCATGCCCAACTCCCCTAATCAAAATCCTTCCTCCTTTGAGACTGGGGCACAGCACCTCCTTCATGAAGCCTTCCCCAGCCAAGTTCTCTCAGCTCAGGCCATCCTGCCCAGTCACACAGCAAGGACCCATGGATGAGTGCTTGACGCACTTCCTCTCCTGTGTCCAAGACACCTGCCTGCCTCCCCATCAAACCCACCATGCTCATCTACCCCCACACTGCAACCTCCACCTCCCGGGTTCAAGTGATTCTTCTGCCTCAATCTCTCAAGCAGCTGGGATTACAGGAGTGCACCACCATGCCTAGCTAATTTTTGTATTTTTAGTAGAGATGGTGTTTCAGCATGTTGGCCAGGCTGATCTCAAGCTCCTGACCTCAAGGGATCCATCTGCCTCAGCCTCCCAAAGTGCTGGGATTACAGGCATGAGCCACCATGCCCAGCCTGACAGATGACATTTATGATCTCTTACCTTGAGCCAGGCCCCGTGTAGATTCTTCCCATTAAATCTTATCATTTAATCTTGACAGCAGCCTTATGGAGTGAGTATGATTATCTCATTTGAAAGATGAGGACACTGAGGCTGAGAGAGAGCATGTAACACACCAGAATGACACTGGTAAGTGACAGCTGGGGCTGTTGACTCTAAACTGTTGTTGACTATGGCCAGGCATGGTGGCTCATGCCTATAGTCCCAGTGCTTTGGGAGGTCAAGACAGGTAGATTGCCTGAGGTCAGAAGTTTGAGACCAGCCTGGCCAACATGGCAAAACCTCCATCTCTACTAAATTGAGGCCAGGCGTGGTGGTTCACGCCTGTAATCCAAAAACTTTGGAGGCCAAGGTAGGTGGATCACCTGAAGTCAGGAGTTCAAGACCAGCCTGACCAACATGATGAAACCCCATCTTCAAAAAATAAAAAATAAAAAAGTTTCAGCCAGGCGCAGTGGCTCACGCCTATAATCCCAGCACTTCGGGAGGCCAAGGTGGGTGGATCACGAGGTCAAGAGATCAAGACCATCCTGGTCAACATGGTGAAACCCCGTCTCTACTAAAAATACAAAAGAATTAGCTGGGCATGGTGGTGCACGCCTGTAGTCCCAGCTACTTGGGAGGCTGAGGCAGGAGAATTGCTTGAACCCGGGAGGCAGAGGTTGCAGTGAGCTAAGATCATGCCATTGCACTCCAGCCTGAGTGACAGAATGAGACTCTGTCTCAAAAAAAATAAAAATAAATAAGCTGTTCACTACTGGTTAACTACTAGGCCTTATCACTGTGGACCATAAACAACCTGAGGGCAAAGCCCAAGTCACTCTTTCTTCTCATCACACCTTACCTGCGCATAATGCAGAAAAAGTAAAGGTAACTTGGCTAAACATATAACCTTCCAAGTGTGTCAAAAGTCCTTCAGATCCAGAGAGCCAGAAAGTAGGTTAGTTATTACCTAGGGCTGAGGAGGGCCAGGGATGAGAACTGACTGCTAATGAGTACAGGGTTTTTTTGGGGGGGATGATAAAAATGTTCTAAATTTAGATTGCGGTAAGGGCTGCACAACCCTGTAGGTATATTAAAAACACTGAACTGTACACTTTAAATGGGTGAATTTTTATGGTATGTGACTTATATCTCAAATATATAAATATTTTTTTATTTAATTTTTTTTTTTAGATGGAGTCTTGTTCTGTCGCCCAGGCTAGAGTGCAGTGGTATGATCTCGGCTCACTGCAGCCTCTGCCTCCTGGGTTCAAGCGATTCTTATGCCACAGCCACCTGAGTAGCTGGGACTAAAGCCATGCATTACCACTCCCAGATAATTTTTTTGATTTTTTGATAGAGACAGGGGCTTGCTATATTGCCCAAGCTAGTCTTAAACCCCTGGCCTCAATCGAACCACCTGCCTCGGCCTCTAAAAGTGCTGAGATTACAGGTATGAGCCACTGTGCCTAGCTCTCAAATATTTTTTTGGAGGGGGAGGGAGTCTCTCTCCCTCTGCTTCCCAGGCTGGAGTGCAGTGGCATGATCTCAGTTCACTACAACCTCCACCTCCCAGGTTCCAGCCATTCTCCTGCCTCAGCCACCCGAGTAGCTGGAATTACAGGCGAGTGCCAACATGCCCGGCTAATTTTTGTTATTTTTAGTAGAGATGGGGTTTCACCATGTTGGTGAGTCTGGTCTTGTACTCCTGACCTTAAGTGATCTGCCTGCCTTGGCCTCCCACAGTGCTGGGATTACAGGCATGAGCCACATCCCTGAGCCAAATTTCTTTTTTTTTTTTTTAGACAGAATTTCACTCTTATTGCCCAGGCTGGAGTGCAATGGTGTGATCTCAGCTCACTGCAACCTCCAACTCCCAGGTTCAAGTGATTCTTCTGCCTCAGCCTCCCAAATAGCTGGGATTACAGGTGCATGCCACCACACCCAGCTAATTTTTTTTTTGTATTTTTAGTAGAGATGGGGTTTCACCATGTTAGCCAGGATGGTCTCAATTTCCTGACTTCATGATCTGCCCACCTCCAGCCTCCCATATTGCTGGGATTATAGATGAGAGCCACTGTGCTCAGCCCAGTTTTTTTTTTAGTCCTTCAGACACCAGCGGAATTGGATTTGGGGACTACTGTTATCTAGGGATTTCAATTCATGTTTCTGGACCCTACACTATCCGATTTACATCGTAAACAGGCCAGGTGAGGTGGCTCATACCTGTAATTCCAATCATGGCCAGGTGAGGTGGCTCATACCTGTAATTCCAACACTTGAGGAGGCCAAAGCAGGAGGATTGTTTGAGGTCAGGAGTTCAAGAACAGCTTGGGCAACATAGTGAGACCCCATCTCTAGAAAAAAAAATATGCCAGGTGTGGTGGCTCACACCTGTATCCCAGCACTTTGAGAAGCTGAGGCAGGCAGATCACTTGAGGTCAGGAGTTTGAGACCAGCCAGGCCAACATGGTAAAATCCCGTCTCTACTGAAAATACAAAAAATTAGCCAGGCATAGTGGCATGTGCCCGTAGTCCCAGCTACTCAGGAGACTGAGGCATGACAATCACTTGAACCCAGGAGACAGAGGTTGCAGTGAACTGAGATCATGCCACTGCACTCTAGCCTGGGTGACAGAATAAGATTCTGTTTCTGAAAATAAATAAATATAGTAAAAACAAAAGTTAAAAAATTAGCCAGGCATGGTGGTACACACCTGTAGTCCTAGCTACTTGGGAGACTGCATCAAGAATATTCTTTGAGGCCGGGCGCGGTGGCTCACGCCTGTAATCCCAGCACTTTGGGAGGCGGGTGGATCACGAGATCAAGAGTTCGTAGACCATCCTGGTCAACGTGGTGAAACCCCGTCTCTACTAAAAATACAAAAAAAATTAGCTGGGCACAGTGGTGCGTGCCTGTAATCCCAGCTACTCGGGAGGCTGAGGCAGGAGAATTGCCTGGACCCAGGAGGCGGAGGTTACGGTGAGCCAAGATCGAGCCATTGCACTCCAGCCTGGATAACAAGAGCGAAATTCCTTCTCAAAAAAAAAAAAAAAAAGAATATTCCTTGAGCCCAGGGATGCAGTGATCTATGATTGTACCACTGCACTCCAGCTTGGGTGATAGAACAAAATCCTGTCTCCAAAAATAAAAATTAAACACTCCAGGTGACCAAATCCCTTGAGCCCTTGAGATTGCCCTCCCACCTGTCATGTGCAAAAGGCCACTTCTGTTCATGTGTCCTATTACCTGAGTCCAGGTTTTCAAGAAATGCTCATCTGGTCCTAGGTATGTGATGGCTGCATCAGGGCAGCTTAGCACCTGACCTCTAGGGTCTTTCCCTGCTAGCCTTTCTCATTTTGTAGACTTCTAGTTCGGTGGTTCCATGCCAAAATAGTGATCCTCTTGACCACCACTGCAGTCCCCTGCTAAGAGGACAATATTGGAAAGGTATGGGGGATGCATGACAGGGGACCAGAGGATGAACAGTTTTGCCTAGGATTCCTCTCCATTCTCAATCCTTGGGGCAGGTAGTTGGGTTTTCATCTCCTTCACCAGATGCCCCTGTTGCCCCCCACCCTAAGAACCACCTGATACATGGACACAAGACACTCATCCATCTGAGAGATGTTTAATGTGTCTTAGGTTCAAGGTACAAAACACAAGGCAGGTGCTAACCCCTGGAAAATCACCTGCTACCCAGTCAGCCCCTGCTTAGCCAGGCGTCCCAGCTTAGCCAGGCATCCCAGCCCCCAGAGCAATGGAGCAGTAGCCCTGAGATACTGGGTTCCTTCTCTGGGGAATGTTCAGGTGGTGACATGACAGCCCAGAGGCCACTATGTCTCCTCCTCAAAAAACCCAGACCCAAGGATCAGAAAGGTCCAGACTTGGACCCAGAGCAGCAGATCCCAGAATGACCCCAGCTCAGCAGCAGCCTTGAACTGAAGTCTGTCCCAGCCCCCAGCCTTGGTCTTAGAAAAGGAGGAACTATTACCCCAATACCTGACAGCAAATGGAAGGGGCTAAAGCAGGAATTGGAAGCAGAGGTTCCTACTGCCCTAAAAAAAAATGGACTATGGGTAGCTGACCCAGCAGGGCAGCAAAGCCCAAGGTTGAAGCCTGCCCCACCTCCTACTCCAGTTCCTCTGAGGGCCAGCCCCTCACAGAGCCTCACTGCCAGGGCGCCAGTGACCCAGTGCTGGGGAGGGAATGGGGACAGGGAAGGCTGGCATTCACTGAGGACTGATGCCCTAGCTTTTGGGGCAGGAGCAGCTGTCTATAGAGTCTCCGGGAAAACCCACTAGGGAAGGGGGACCAGCAACCCAAGTCTCTGGACCTAGTCCCTAGAAGGCCTGGACTGGATCCGGAGCCAGAGTAGAGGCCTTACTGAAATGGAAGGTGGCAGGGATTAAGAGCAGGGAGGTGGCGAGAAAGGCCCCTGTGAGGACCAGCTCAGGTGACCCCTCTGACCAGCCCCAAGGAAGCTCAATTGCTACTTCAGCCCAGACCCCTCTGGCTTCATGTCAAGTTGCAAGGATTCTACCCATCACCCAGGGAGCATTTCCCACAGGGATTCCACCTCCTGCTCCTCCCCAAGACCCTGGGCTACAGCCGGCTGCCTCTGTTGAACTGGATACACCAGTGGGAGTTAGCGGTGCCTGGGCTGAGATGGGTGTGGTTCTTGTGGCCCATAAGAGGCTGCAGCTCCTGCTGCTGTGGGAGGTCAGCACTGCTCTCACTGTGAGAGCGGCCAGCCTTGGCCAGGCTCGGGGGGAAGGCGAAGCTAGGGCGTGGATCAGAAGGCGGGTAGAGAGGGGCCTGGGGCTCTTCAGCACCCCGTGGATGGGGAGGCAGGCAGGTCAGAGTTGGGGCCTGGTTACAGGGAGGAGATGCTAGGCTCTCCAGGGATGACATGCTCTGGTTCCAGCCCGTCTGCATGTCCACAGGCACAATCTTGGTGGTTTCCGAGGACACGTATACTGCCAGGTCCCCTTGCCCACTCTTCCAGGGGAGCTCCTTCTCTGCACATGTTGGGGAGGGGGGAATGATTCGTGGGCTCGGGCACACCTCAAGGCTTCCTGGGGACAAAGAGTGTACATGAACTCATTACCAATACAGTGGAAAACTCAAGTATAAGCACATTCTCATAAATTCATGCGACAGTTTCCATATGCCATCCATTTATGCAATTATCTATGAATGTCTTGCTGAGGGGAAGTACCACAGCTGGTTTTGCTCTCCACTTTATCCGCAGCACCTAGCACAGGGCCGGGCACACAGTAGTTGCTCGAGAAATCCCTATCGAACAAATGAAAATAAGGAAAGTTGGCCAGGCGCAGTGGCTCACACGTGTAATCCAAGCACTTTGGGAGACCAAGGCAGTGGATCACCTGAGCTCAGGAGTTAGAGACCAGCCTGGCCAACATGGTGAGACCCATCTCTACTAAAAATACAAAAATTAGTCAGTTGTGGTGGCACACGCCTGTAATCCTAGCACTTTGGGAGGCCAAGGTGGGTGGATCACCTGAGGTCAAGAGTTCAAGACCAGCCTGGCCATCATGGTGAAACTCCAACTTTAAAAAAAAAAAAAAGATTAGCCTGGGCAACATAACAAGACCTCATCTCTACTAGAAAAAAAAGATAGCTGAGCATGATGGTTTGTGCCTGAAGTCCCAGCTACTCTGGAGGCTGAGGCAAAAGGATTGCTTGAGCTTGGGTGTTCAAGGTTGCAGTGAGCTGTGATCGCACTACTGCCCTCCAGCCTGGGCAACAGAGAGAGACAGTCTCAAAAGAAAAAAAATAAAAGAATTCTTACCTTTTAGAGATATATACTGAAGTATTTATTGATAAAGTGATAATGACATTTTAGACTTGCATCAGAAGAACCCAGTGGAGGGAGAGGCATAGGTGAGGTTTAGGTGAAATAAGATTGGCTATGAGTAGGTAATTATTGAAGCTGGATAATGGATAGATGGGAATTTATTTTATAGTTTTATCATTGTATATTTTGAAATTTCCTTAGCTACATACCAGCTACCAGAAAAAAAGAAAGAAAGAAAGAAAGAAAGAAATTTCCTATAATAAAAAATTTGTAAAAACATTTGAGGGTCCCAGCCACCAGTGATAATGACATTATGAGTGAATTAGGCCTCTATACATACACAGAAATGCTTATATACTGTATTTTTATCCACAGTAATTCCATTTTGATGACTTCAGTCTCCAACTCCAGGTCAGGCTGCCACCTTCACCTGAGGCTCTACTTGAGGGCATGGGTCTCAACAGAGCCCATGGTTTGCTCACTACTTCCTGTTCCTCACTAGAATATAAAGGGAGGCAGCATGGCCTTGAAAAGGTGTGGGTGGCATGGTGAGTCACACCTGTAATCCCAGCATTTTGGGAGACCAAGGTAGGAAGATTGCTTGAGTCTAGGAGTTTGAGGCCAGCCTGGGTAACACAGCGAAACCTCATTTCTACAAAAAAGTTTAAAAATTAGCTGGTTGGGCTGGGAGAGGTGGCTCATGCCTGTAATCCCAGCACTTTGGGAGGCCAAGGCGGGTGGATCACCTGAGGACAGGAGTTCAAAACCAGCCTGAATAGGCTGAATGCAGTGGCTCATACCTGTAATCCCAGCACTTTGGGAGGCGGAGGCAGGTAGATCATGAGGTCAGGAGATCAAGACCATCCTGGCCAACATGATGAAACCCTGTTGCTATAAAAAATACAAAAATTAGCTGGGCATGGTGGTGCATGCCTGTAGTTCCAGCTACTAGGGAGGCTGAGGCAAGAGAATTGTTTCAACCCGGGAGGCAAAGGTTGCAGTGAGCTGAGATCCCACCACTGCACTCCAGCCTGGTGACAGAGCAAGACTGCATCTCAAAAAAAAAAAAAAAAAAAAGAAAGAAAGGACCAGCCTGATTAACACAGTGAAACTCTGTCTGTACTAAAAATATAAAAAATTAGCCAGGCATGGTAGCAGGCACCTGTAAATCCTGGCTACTTGGGAGGCTGAGGCAGGAGAATCATTTGAAGCCAGGAGGCAGAGGTTGCAGTGAGCCGAGATCGCACCACTGCACTCCAGCCTGGGCAAAAAGAGGAAAACTCTGTCTCAAAAAAAAGCTGGGTGCAGTGGCTCACACCTGTAATCCCAGCACTTTGGGAGGCCAAGGTGGGCGGATCAGCTGAGGTTGGGAATTCGAGACCAGCCTGACCAACATGGAGAAACCCTGTCTCTACTAAAAATACAAAATTAGCTGGGCATGGTGGTGGTGCATTCCTGTAATTCCTGCTACTCCAGAGGCTGAATAAGGAGAATCAGTTGAACCCGGGAGGCAGAGGTTGCAGTGAACTGAGATAACACCATTGCACTCCAGCCTGGGCAACAAGAGTGAAACTCCATCTTAAAGAAAAAAAAAATCAGCTGGGTGTGCTAGTGCACACCTGTAGTCCCTGATACTCAGGAAGCTGAGGTGGGAGGATCACTTGAGTCCTGGAGATCAAGGCTGCAGTGAGCCATGATCATGCCATTGTGCAATTTGTGATCCACCCTGGGTGACAGAGTGAGCTCCTGTCTCAAAAAATATAGCAATGCAAGAATGGCATCAAATAAAAGAAAAAATAGAAAAGGCTGAATGTGGTGGCTCACGCCTGTAATCCCAACACTTTGGGAGGCCAAGGCGGATGGATCACCTGGGGTCAGGAGTTTGAGACCGGGTGTGGTGGTGCATGTCTGAAATCCCAGCTATTCGGAAGACTGAGGCAAAATTGCTTGAACCCTGGAGGCAGAGGTTGCAGTGAGCCAAGATCACGCCACTGCACTCCAGCCTGGGCCACAAGAACAAAACTCTGTCTGGGCTGGGTGCGGTGGCTCACACCTGTAATCCCAGCACTTTGGGAGGCTGAGGCGGGCAGATCACCTGAGGTCAGAAGTTTGAGATCTCAGTCTGGCCAACATGGTGAAACCCTGTCTCTAAAATAAATAAATAAATTAATTAATTAATTTTAAAAAACTCTGTCTAAAATAAAATAATATTTAAAAAGGCTGTGGGCTTTGGAGTCAGATGGGTCAGGTTCAAATTCTGGTTCTACTATGTGATGCTGGACAAGTCACGAGTCCCTTAGGCTGTCTGAGCTCAATTTCCCCATCTTGGTGGTTGTAAGGGTTGAGTATCATTTATGTCAGGCATCTGACATGAAGATGGTCTGCAAATGCTGGCTGGTGAATAGGAAAAGGGAGTTGTCTGGAGTAGAGGCCATGGGTGAAGAGAAAGGAAATCAGCTTGCTCCAGAGGGAAGGGGGACAGGGAGGAAGCCATTACCTGAGACCTTGCCCTCTTGGAGAACCTCACTGGTGGCCCGAGCCACAAAGATGATGCCCTCATCGTCCTCCTTCTCTGTCTCTGAACTGTCGCTCTCCTCCTCCTCCTCCTCAGACTCCACAGTTAATATGACAGCAGCTGGACAGAGATGAGCAAAGTCAGGCGGCCTGGGCTGGCAGCTGCCTCTTGGGACTGCATAGCCCTAAGCCAGCTCTGTCTCCCTAAGCAGAACACACATTGGCAGAGACACCTACTTTCTCCTCTGGCTGTTTCAAGCACTGGCCTAGGAGGTGGTGACTTGGGAGAAAGAGAAGTGACACTGCAGAGCCCAACGAGGCAACCAGAGGAAGCTAAGTCCGCAGAGGAAGCCATGAGGACCACACTTTCTAGCTCCCCCATCCTTTTTGTCAGCCCCAAAGGCCATGATCCACTGGAAACATGAGCACTTGGATTGCTGGAAGTCCCATTAACATTCAGATAATACAAAACTGGCTTTGTAGCCAGGTGCAGTAGCTCACGCCTGTAATCCCAACACTTTGGGAGGCTGAGGCAGGCAGATCACCTGAGGTGAGGTATTCAAGACCAGCCAGGCCAACAAGGTGAAACCTCTCTACCAAAAACACAAAAAAATTAGCCAGGCATAGTGGCACACACCTGTAATCCCAACTACTTGGGAGGCTGAGGTAGGAGAATCATTTGAGGTAGGAGAATCATTTGCCTCTGGGAGGCAGAGGTGGCAGTGAGCCGAGATGGCACCACTGCACTCTAGCCTGGGCACCGGAGTAAGATTCCATCTCAAAAAAGCAAAACAGAACTGGCTTTGCAGACAGTACACTGGGCCCCAGGGTCCATCCATCCTCCAAGCCCAGACCAAGCTCCCCCTTCTCCATGACACCTTTTCCAAGTCCTTGGGGCCTGTAACCCCTAGTTAGCAATCAGATGTCTCCTGTCATCCATTGTCTAATAACTGCTTTGAACATTTCCAAGTTGGAAATCAAGTCCCTGGGGGAAGAGCCCCAGCTCATGGTGCTTAAAATGCACCCTGGAGCAGGTCCTCCAGGATTCTGGGTGGTGACCCCCAGCCCTTACCCTCCTTCCTCCCATCCTCAATCCCACCCTTCTCCCTGCTTGCCTGTGTCCTGAAAGCCCAGGTCTCGAGGTTTCCCATTTGTAGCCTCAGCATTCGCCACACCATCCTTCTGAGGACCAAGAAAGAAAACCTGAGCCTCTGGCCCCAGCTCCCCACCCAACCCTGTCATCTGGTGGGGTCAACAGGAGGACAAGTTTTCTTAACCCAGCAGGAGGGAATTTGCATCAGTCCCACTGGTTCTACAACCCTTGGCCAACCAGGCAAGAATTGTAGGGTCTGAGTGAACCATGCCCCAAAAAGAAATCTGGATGCATCAGTCTGGGCTGATTTAGGGGCTCATGGAGTTGCCCCTCAAAGGAATCTCCTTTTCTCCCGCCTTTTTCATTTTTGGTAAGAGCTCCTGCTGCCTTCCAGCAGGTGACCACATGGCCAAGAGGCTGCTCCCCCTCTGAAGGTATCACCTTACCCCTCTGGGGCTCTAAGAACATCTAAAGGAGAACCCAAAAGGCAACAGTCATCAAGTGTCTAAGGACTATCCAACTGGGGGTCCCTCTAAGCTGGATCCTAACACTTGGGGGGCTCAAAACTGCATGCTATCAGCCTCCAGCTCCAAAGAGGAGTCCCTAAGAGAAGACATGCCTTCCTGCGGCCAGTCTTGCGGGGTCGTGGCTTGCTCTTGGTGAAGCAGATGTTGTGCTTGGTGGATTTGAAGGACTCTAGCCGCCGCTTCATGTTCTGCTGGAAGACCTCCTTGTCCTGCCTCTCCTGCGCATCGTCTGAGATGAAGTGGCGACTGCAGCTGGCTTTGTACTGGCAATGACAGCCCCACCTCGCTATGAGGCCAGATGCCTTGGCCTCCCACAGGAACCCCAGGCCACAGCCCCACCATATTCAACACAGGTCCTGCCAGCCCAGCTTTTCCAGAATTAACAATGGATTGAAAAACAAAATACAAGAGGAACCCAGCCAGAGACTCTGTGTTCTCAATTCCCTGGGAGAAGCTTCCCTTTATCTCAGAACTTATTCCCCCAAACCTGGCCTTCTCGATCCCTTGCCATCCTTTCCCGATTCTCTCTGATTTGAAGGTGACCCTCTGTCTTGTTCTGGTACTATGACAACATGGGGAACATTTTCTTCATTCTACCTCCATTGATCTGAGCTTTGCCCAGATGCCCAGCCTCCCTGCCCCCTTCTGGCTACACAGGATCCTTTCTCCAGCTGGATTCTCCCATCTAGCCATTTCTACAACCACCATCATGATATCCTGCGCTGCACTTTGAACTTTCGTTAACTATCTCCCCTAACACCCTGGACCTTCTCGGTCCCAATAATTTAGGTTCACCCCTATCATCTGCTCTTTTTTTTTTTTTATGAGACAGAGTTCTGCTCTTGTCACCCAAGCTGGAGTGCAATGGCACAATCTCTGCTCACTGCAACCTCCGCCTCCAGGGTTCAAGCAATTCTCCAGCCTCAGTCTCCCGAGTAGCTGGGATTACAGGCACCTGCCACCACACCCAGCTAATTCTTGTATTTTTAGTAGAGATAGGGTTTCACCATATTGCCAGGCTGGTCTTGAACTCCTGACCTCAGGTGATCTGCCCACCTTGGCCTCCCAAGGTCCTGGGATTACAGGCATGAGCCACTGCACCTGGCTATGCTCTTTTTAACTCTCATAAAGACCAAGCCTGCCTACACACTCACCTAGACTGCCTCTACCTCTACCCTCCCTGCTTAGCACCTTTTCATCATCTAGTGGTAATCCCCTGAAATACTGCCCAGCACCTGCCAGATAATCTTATTTTGCCTCACATCCCAAGTCTGGTCCCTTTATCTCATATTTTCTGCTTCCCTAAACCAGTTCTAAGAGCCCCCTTCAAGTCTTCCATTTGCCCTCCTCCACTACCTATGCACCAGGAGGCACCCTCTTTCCTGGGATGAAGGGGTCCATCTCCTTCACAAGGCTCATTGCTGCCCAGCCCCAGTCTCCACATGGTTCAGTTCCCCCTCCTGCCTCCAGCAGTTCCTGCTGCCTCCTATTTCTCCACTCTCCTGTCTCTTCACCCCTTCCCTCACCACTTGGCTCCCTCCCCTCTGTTTTCAAGCTCCTGCCTTTGCCTCATTAAAGAAACTCTCTATGAACACTATTGTCTCCCTTTTGCTGCCACACTTTTAGAATTTGATTCTGACACGTTCTCTCCTACTCACCACTTCCTTAAATACCAGAAATCCAACCCTGGGGTCCACAACTCCACAGTGCTGCCTTCTCGCTGGTCACCAGTGTGGTGGGCTCTGCCTCTGCACAGCATCTAGCCCTCTTTCTGCCCCAGGCCTGAGACACCACCTGTCACTGTTTCTCCAAGGGTTCCTTGTCTTTGGCTCGCCTTCCTTTTCTCCCATGTGCATTCCTCAGTGTTATCTTTAGCCCTCCTCTCTCCCCAGGAAACACTCTCCCCAGAGAACTTATTCATTCTGTCCACCCCAGCTATCCCAGTGATATAGACCTGTGGTTCTTGAATATCAGTCATCAGACCAGCTGCATTTGAATCACCTGGGCAACTTAGTAAGAACACAGATTCAGTCGGGCTCAGTGGTTCACACCTGTAATCCCAACACTTTGGGAGGCAGAGGCAGGCAGATCACCAGAGGTCAGGAGTTCAAGACCAGCCTGACCAACATGGAGAAACCGTCTCTACTAAAAACACAAAACCTACTGGGCCTAGTGGTGCATGCCTGTAATCTCAGCTACTCAGGAGGCTGAGGCAGAAGAATCACTTGAACCCGGGAGATGGAGGATGCAGTGAGCAGAGATTGCACCATTGCACTCCAGCCTGGGCAACAAGAGCAAAACTCCAACTCAAAAAAAAACCACAGATTCTTAGTTCCACTCCAAACTGCAGAATCAGAATCTTCAGGTTAAGCCAGGAAGTTCCCCAGGGGATTCTGTGGTAGCCAGGTGACAAAACCTGATAAGGATTGCTTCCAAATCTCTCTCCAGCCTTATCTATTAAACTATAATCTTATCTTTCTAACTGCATACTAGATATCTCTGTCTCTCTCTAATGATATTTCTATGAAGAACATGATAAATTGTGGATTGTGTTGTCATACTAAGTGGATTCAGAACTGGTTAAGTTACCATACCCCAAAAATGCTTGATCCATGTCAGACTGGAGGAAAGTCTTTAGTAGCATGCCACAGGGCTCTGTCCTCAGCTCTATCCTGTTCAACATGTTTATGTTGATTTGGATGAATACAAAGTTAACAGGATTAACACATTTTCAGATTATATTAATCTAAGAAGGAGACATTTGGTGGCAGACATGGGAACCAAACAGTGGGATGATGGGCTAAAGTAAGTAAGATGACATTTAACATGATACACACAAACTCATTCCAGATTTTTAAAAAACAGACTGAACTGATTGGACTGAACCCACTGACCAATCTTATACATACACATACACACACACACACACACACACACACACACACACACACAGCACACCAAATCATTATGTATTTCCTGATGTGGCACCACAGAAAATATATAGCATACCTACTGAATGTCCCTGAATCTGATCAGACCTCTAGATTTCACAACCAGGAAATATAGGGAATGAAGGAACACGTTAAACAACACTACTGGAATACAGTCAGCAAAATCTAGAAAATGTGCAATTCTCCAAGACCAAGTATCCAGTTTCTTCAATAAATAAATAGTAAGGGAGATAAAAAGGGGAGAAAGAACTATTATAGACTTTTTTTAATGAAGAGACATATTTCCAAAATGCTAAATGTAGACTTAATTTGGATCCTGAGCATCCAGCTGGAAAAAAGATATTTATTGAATACTGACTGGATGTAAGAGTTCTTGCCACTTAGAGAGACATACTGAAATATTTTGAGATGATGTGATATGATGTCTGGAGTTTTTTTTTTAAAGATAAAGTGTGGGTGGGATGTGGTAGGGCTATAGAATGTAATAGAATTAATCATGCACTGATTTTTCAGAGCTGGTTGATAGATAAATATGAGTTATTTTATTCTCTCTACTGGAATTTTGAATAAGAAAAAGGTTTTTTAAGAACTCCACAGGTTGGGATGAGACAGGTTCTGACAGCCATTAACTGAGGCAGACCTGGGAGTTTAGCAGATTCTAAGGACAATGTGGGGTCCCAGGGTGGTAAGCCAAGACTGGAGGGATCTTGGGCTATGGGAAGAGAAATAGCAAGTTCTAGAACTAGAATGGTGAGAGAGCTTCTAGGCCCTTCCCTGGCCAGCCACAGCTAGAGTAGCAACTTCCATTCTGGGCCCTGTTTTTTAAGTCCGGAGAAGACACACCGGGAAAAGGCAAGAGAGCCTGTGTAAAATGGAACTGTCTTGAAACCTTGGAAGATTCATTCTGTAGAGCTGCAAAGAGTCAAATCAGGACCAGTGGGTGCAAGTTAAAGGAGGCCAATTCTGTTTCCACAGTAGGAAGAGCTTTGACTGTTAAAACTGCCAGAACTGGTGATGTCTGGTGGCTTCCCATTTTAAAAAGGTGCAAGGTAATGGCTTGCTGCCCTCTTGTGGGGTTGCAACAGATTCTCTCCTGGATGGGCTTGGCCTTTCCAGCCGAAAAGCTTAATTATCTGCATTGGACTAACTTCCATTATTTAAAACAGATGCCCACCTTCCACAGGCTAAGCTGATCTAGGAGACTTCCTCAGTGCTCCTGCTTCTGTCTGTGACCCCATGATTCTCCAGTGACCCTCAAGGCCCCCAGTACTCTGTCTCCTCTCCCCATCAAAGCCAATCACACCACCCGGCCCTAATCCATGACATTTCACTCCAGCTTCCCAACTGGCTTTCCCAGCGTCTCAATTCACCCCCTCCAATTTGATCTGCATTCTGCTACCAGAGAAGGTATTCTTAAACATGCTTGTATTAGGCCAACCCTTTCTACAAAAAATAAAAATAAAGGAGAGGTTTTTTATTACTGATGAAACACATACCCTTTTTTTTTTTTTTTTTTTTTGACATGGAGTCTCACTCTGTCACCCAGGCTGGAGTGCAGTGGTGTGACCTCAGCTCATTGCAACCTCTGCCTCCCAGATTCAAGTGATTCTCCTCCCAAGTAGCTGGGATTACAGGCACGTGCCACCGTACCCAGCTAATTTTTTATGGTGTTTCACTTTCACCATGTTGGTCAGGCTGATCTCAAACTCCTGACCTCAAGTGATTCCCCCGTCCTTGGCCTCCCAAAGTGCTGGGATTACAGGCATGAGCCACTGCGCCCGGCTGAAACCCACACTTTTTAGCTGGGCATCTGCAGCTGTCTAACAAGCTGGTGCCAACTGCCTCTTAAGCTCTCCCTAGACCACCTCCACCCCCTCAAAATTCTGATGCCTGCCTGCTCTCACCCTACGGCGTGGCTTGTAGAGGCCTCCGCAGAGCAGATGATGCATCACAGCATCCTCGCGATCCCGGCCGCTGCGTACCGTGTCAATCACCTGCAGATCCAGACATGCTCCACTGCCACTCTCCCTCCTGCAGGAGACAGGGGACACATGTGCTGGGGAGGGGGCAGGAAGCATAGGCCAGAAGAGGGGCAGATACAAAGGTGCTGACAAATCTCCCCAGAAGGGATTCAGAGAGAGGGCCCAATGGAGATGAGTATGAGGAAGAGGAAAGGGCTCAAGGACTCACAGCAGGTTGGTGACAGAAGTCTCTGCCACAGAATTGCGGCTGGGCATAGAGGGCAGAGTGAGACCTGTAGAAGACAAGACGTGGCCTCCCTGGAGGCGTCAAGACCACGGTTAGCCGGCAATCAGATGCAAGGTGGCCCAGGAGTCAGGGGCAATAAAGAAAATAATAATAAGGAACATGTAGTTTACTCTTTTGACATGCCAGGTACTGTGCTAGGCACTTTCCACATCAAACCCACAAATTCTGTGGCATAGGTACTCTTATGCCTACTTCCTATTTTTATTTATTCATTTATTTATTTAGAGATGGAGTCTTGCACTGCAGCCCAGGCTGTAGTGCAGTGGCGAGATCTCATGACTGCAATCTCCGCCTCCTGGGTTCAAGCGATTCTCCTGCCTCAGCCTCCCAAGTAGCTGAGACTACAGGTGTGCGCCACCATGCCCAGATAATTTTTTTTGTATTTTCAATAGAGATGGGGTTTCACCTTGTTGGCCCAGTTGGTCTTGATCTCCTGACCTCGTGATCTGCCCACCTTGGTCTCCCAAAGTGCTGAGATTACAGGTGTGAGCCACCGCACCTGGCCTATTTATTTATTTTTTTATATTTGAGAGTCTCATTCTGTTGCCCAGGCTGGAGTGCAGTGGCATGATCTCAGCTCGCTGCAACCTCTGCTTTCTGGATTTAAGCGATTCTCCTGCCTTAGCCTCCAGAGTAGCTGGGATTACAGGCGTACACCACCACGCCTGGCTAGTTTTTGTATTTTCAGTATAGACAGGGTTTCACCATGTTGGCCAGGCTGATTTCAAACTCCTGACCTCAAGTGATCCACCCACCTTGGTCTCCCAAAGTGTTGGGATCACAGGTATGAGCCACCATGCCCAGCTTCTTATGCCTGCTTTCTTACAGCTAAGGAAACAGGCTCAGAGAGTATGACTTACCCAAGGTCACAAATTTGGAAGTGATAACAGTTGAGCCACATCTGATGACTCCAGAATCCAGCTGTTTCCCACCTCTCTGGACTGCCTGCCAGACTCTGAATGTCAGCACCAGGCCCAGCTGCTTCCTGGAGCTAGCTGCCACTTAACCAGACCACGGAGCCAGCTAGGAATTCCCAGCTCCCTTCAGGCCTGGCTGCTTGACACCCCTTTCTGTCCTGCTCTGCTGCCCATCTGCCCACCCACCACTGGCCCACCTGGTAGCTGGTAGCCCACCTGGTCCACAAAGCTGATGGCATCCCGGATGTTGAGTCTGTAGTACACATCCCAGATCTGGTCCCGGATGCGGTAGGCTGACCGTCGCATCAGCAGCTGACTCAGGTATTTCTTGTCAAACTGCTCCCACCTACAGAGGATGCCAGGCCCGGCCCTGAGTCCCATTCCCAAGGCCTGGCCATGAGGCCCTTCCTCAGATGGGGCAAGGACACCATCAGCACTGACTTGGCTTTTTAGATATGGGCCTCAGCCAGGGAGAATCTCAAGGCTACTCCCTGCCCTCATGGAATTTATAGTGTCATGGGAAAGGCTAACCATAATTGAAATTATTCCAAATCACTATAAAATTGCGACCATGACAAGAACTATAAAGGATAATTGGAGAATATGACACAGATATGTCCTAATCAGGGAGGCCAGGGAAGGCCTCCCTAAGGAATTGAAGCCTACAGTGAGTTGTGAAGGATGAACTGAAGCTGAGTAAGTGAGAGGGAGGTGAGGGAGTGTTCTAGTAGAGAGAGGGTCCCAGTGGCCAGGCTGGGGGAGCATGGTGGGTCCTGAGGCTCTAAGGTAGGGTCCATAGAATTAGCAGGCAGACAGTGAAAGATGGAGCAGAGCATGATGAGGCTAGAGTCTGGCAGTTGCCAGACCATGCAGGGCCAAGCAGCCCACACTGGGGAACCTTGTCTTAACCTGAGAGCACTGGGATGCCACTGAAGGGCTTCAGGCAGAGGTCACCCAGCCTGAACCTGGCTCTGTCCCTTCTCAGAAGTGTGGCACATCCCCCATGCTTCCCTGGCTGGTGGAGCTGCTGCTGCTGCTGAAGGAGCCTCGGGGCAGCTCCCTCACCTGTCCCTCCAGTAGTGGTAGCCATGGTGCCCCACAACGTCCTCCACTGCAGCCAGAATGTGGTCAAAAGTCTAGAAGGGGGGGCGGGTAGGGGGACTGGATCAGGACTTTGCCCAAAATAGGAGATGGTCAAGAGGGACAGGTTAGGGCTGGGGTTCTGGTACCCACGTGCTCATGCAGCTCCTGGTTCAGGGTAGGTTTGTGATGCTCACTCCTCTTCACCTTCAGCCATTTGACCAGTGGCTTGATGGTCAAGCCCTACGGACAGGCAGGAGGTGAGCCCTGCCTTATTCCTATTCAGTTCCCTGCTTCCTTTCTCTCCCCATAATGAGGCCTCAGCTTTGGTACCCCCACCCCACTGCACTCAAGATCTAGGAAGTCAGGGCCCTCCATCTCTCAGCGGGAAGAGGAGCCCCTGTCCCATAGGCTCCAAGACTCCCCCAGGGTCTGCCCGACCCTCTCCCTACCCAGCCTTGTGGGCACTCCCACCTGCACGATGACTGTGAAGAAGACCACCACAATAGTGGTGGCTACAAAGTAGTCCTTGGCAGGGACCTTGGTCCTATCCAGTAGGATGACGAGAGCAAAGGCCACAGCCCCCCGCAGGCCCCCATAGGACATCACCACTTGGTCAATCTTGTCCAGAGGGATTAGCCGGAACTGATTCAGCACCCAGGTCTGCAGGACTACGCCTGCAGCGGGAGGGAGGCCAGTGGGAGCAAAGCGTTGGGAGTGGAGGACATAGGAGTGGATATCACCAAGTATCTGGGCTGAGGTCTAACAGGGGCTGGGAGAGGTGAGCAACAAGAGGAGGCTTAGGAATTGATAAGGATGTGGACTCAGAAGGGGAGATGAGCTGCAGGCAGGGGCGGGACAGGAAGGAGAGTGGGAAAGCAGAGGGTATCAGCAATACCGAGGGCTCGGAAGAACAGGATGAAGATGAGGGTGCCCAGCACCAGCCCAGAATCCCAGGCCCACTTAGAAGAGTCCACAGCTGAGATGCCAAGCAGCATGAAGATGACGGTCTCAGCACAGCTGGCTAGAGTCTTCATTGTATATTTGACAGTTGTGCGTGACTTATGGGAGATGTTGGCCTCCACGTACTTCTTACAGCCCAGGCCACACATGGTCACCCTGGGAGAGGATAGAGAGACAGGGAAAGTGGGGAAGGGTTCCAGGGGGGCTCAGCCTCTGTGGTTTGAGCATACTTCAGGAGGGAGCACTGCCCATCACAGGATATCAGACTCTCAGAGCTGAAGCCCGGGGAGGCCTGAAGACTGAATGGTAGTGCTGGGCTTCAAGTCCAGATCTCCAGGCTTCCTTCTCAGTATCTCATGGAGGGGAAGGTGGGAGGAACATGCTCTGACTAGCAGGCTGTCTGATGCAGCTTCTGAAGTGCTATGGCCCCCAGAGCCGGTGACCCCAGGCCTTAAAGTTTACTTCCAGCCCATCCTACACCCAGAGGGTTTTAGGGTGCTGAGGACAGTTCTGGAGGCAGCTCCTGGAATATTACCTGAGGTTTACTATCTCCCCAGGAGAGTTTGAGGCTCCCACTACCACAAAGGGTCAGGGAAATCTAAGGACTCCTGAAGTTCCTCCCTGTGTCCCTATGAGGGACAACCATCTCCAGTGCCCCCTCCCAGCTATCTGCCTGCAAGGTCCCCAGAACTCACGCAAGAATGGCGGACAGTGAGGCCATTTCAGCAGTGAGGTAGGCTGCATAGGCGAGGAGGAAGACCAGCAGCGGCTCGATGATGCGGACCCGCTTGGTGAAGCGTGTGGTCAGGGCCAGGAGGAAGGCAAAGACTAAGCCCACGGCTGCCCCGCCCAGACTGACCACAAACAGGGAGGCTGGGGGAGGAGTGGGTTGTCAGCATGACCCCTGGCCTGGACCCTACCCTGGCAGGGAGTGAGGGATGATGCCCACCACACTCCCAGGGGCTCAAAATCCCAGAGCCAGGATCCCTGGCAAGCCGCTCCCAGACCCCATTTCTCTATAGAAGAGGGGAGGAGATAAGGCAACCCAAATAGCCTCCTCTGTGCTGATATGGGGTGGAAGGGCCTCAGCAACCCAGGGGAGGCAGACCTCCAATGCTAGCTGGGAGTGGGGAAATACTGACCGACTCCCTTCAGGTAGTCAGTGGCCTGCACGTTGGCAGAGCCCATCTCCACAAAGGAGTTGCAGACCTTGTACAGCACCTGAGCGAGAAGAGGAGAGTCAGCAGTGAGGCGGGAAGGCAGCAACTGGGACTGCTGGGAGACAGTGAAAGCAGACAGCATATCTGCCCCAGGGAACCCATGGGAAGGGTCTGAATCTGTGCAGACCCCCAGTTGGTCAGAACATGCAGCCTGGGGTCAGGGAATGGCAGCCAGCTGAGCATGCTCACCACGGTGACTGCATCGTTGAGCAGGGACTCGCCAAAGACAATGATGAAGAGAGTCTCATTGACGTGCACCTCCTCAAAGACAGCTAGCACTGCTACGGGGTCCACCGCCGAGATGAGGCTCCCAAACAGCAGGAAGTCCAGTAAGCCAGCCTGCACCCTAGGGGCTATTGACGGACAGGTGTAGGACAGTCCAGTCACTGAGGACAACCCAGTCCCCTGCAGCATGCCCTTTGACAAGCCCAGGCTCCACCCCTGCTGATACAATGAGGAAGCCCAAAGAGGACTTGGGATGGCAAAGACAGCATCCACCTGCAGATCAGGAGACTTCAGTCAAGCTACCTATGCCTAAGGCCTGGCTTTGCCAATTACCAACTGTGTGATGCTAGTTCTGTCACTGTCATATGACTTACCTTAGCCATGCCTTTTCATCTACCTGCCTCACAAGATTGTTTCAAAACTCAACCCAGCCATTTAGAATAGAGCAAAAGGCCAGGTGCGCCCCAGCACTTTGGGAGGCCAAGGCATGCTGGATCACCTGAGGTCAGGAGTTTGAGATGAGCATGGCCAGCATAGTGAAACCCCATCTCTACTAAAAATACAAAAAGTAGCTGGGTGTGGTGGTATGTGCCTGTAATCCCAGCTACTTGGGAGGCTAAGGCAGGAGAATTGTTTGAACCAGGGAGGAAGAGGTTGCAGTGAGCTGAGATCGTGCCACTGCACTCCAGCCTGGGTGATAGAGTGAAACTCAGTCTCAAAAAAGATAAATAAGTAAAATAGAATTAGGGAAAAAAACACTGTAGTAGCAGTACTAATAACTACTAGCAAATAGAAATTGGCTGCTAACTGGATTTTTATTAGGGAGAATAATGAAAGAGTGCTTTCTCCCACACCTGTGGTTCCCAGCCAAAGGGATGTAACACAGTTCTCAGCAGGGGTGGAGGACTGAACAAAGTAAGAAAAGCACCTCAGGTGGGACTAGAACATGTCATATAAATTCTATGAGCCCGCGTTTCCCCATGTCTAAACTGAGACTAATAACAATATCTACCTCAAAAAGTTCCTTATTTAGCCAATGCCTAACACAAAGTAAGCACTCAGAAGATATTATTATGTATTAGGATTACTACTGTTATTATGATCTGATGTATTCCCTTCCCTTCCTGCCCTAAGTAGTGTACTACCTCAATAGGGAAACCAGGTGAGAGTCCTAGACAGCAATTGTAAACATCTTCTTGTAATACCCTGGAAAAAGTATGAATCATCAGCCTTCAGGGTTGAATGAATTTCTTGGATTAGGAAATAAAGAATGAGGTAGCAAGAGAGGGCAACCTAAAGGCAAAGAGCCTCAGTAAAACAAACCTGAGGTCGGGCCCAGTGGCTCACACCTCTAATCCTAGCACTTTGAGAGGCTGAGGTGGGTAGATCACCTGAGGTCAGGAGTTTAAGACCAGCCTGGCCAACATGGTGATACCCTGTCTCTACTAAAAATACAAAAATTAGTGGCACATGCTGGTAATCCCAGCTACTTGGGAGGCTAAGGCAGGAGAATCGCTTGAACCCAGGAGGTGGAGGTTGCAGTAAGCCGGGATCATGACATTGCATTCCAGCCTGAGCAAGAGTGAGACTCAATCTCAAAAAAACAAACAATAAAACGGTCCTCTTCTGCTAACCTTGGACCTAACAGCAAACAACAAAGGGGGTTCTATTTCCCCATACATTAAATGTGACAAACTATACCCCAAAAGTGTTGCTATGAAGAGTCAATGAGGTAAGTAAGAAGAGAAAACCCAGTGTAGTGCCAGCATTTGATGGATTTATAATAGGTATTTATTTTTTAAATAATAAATTTATTATAGACAATATGTAGTTAAGAAAAAATAATAATAAAAACAGAAAACCACCCTGACCTGGCCTAGACAGAGCCAGGACAGTAGGCCCTTGCAGAAATGGTGCACAGCTGTGCCTCAGGGGAGCAGGGCTGGCAAGTGGCAGTGTGGTAACAGAGGGCAGGAGGCAACAGAGTGGTAACGCAGGCTCCCCAGCCTTGGCAGCCTACACACAGCTGGGAGCCAGGCTCTTGCTCAGCTGTTATGCTGCAGAAGCCCAGACTGGCAGAGACTTAGATGAGGCCTGAAGCCCACTGGGAGCACTGCCTTGCACTCCAGTGGGAGGGACCTAGGACAGAGCTTTCAGAGCAAGGCTCACACCAGCAGGGACCTCAGAGCTGGAGGACAGGGGAGGGGGGCAATGGGTCTGGCAAAGCCCAGGTCTTAGAGTCACTCACCCACAAGTCCAGCCTGCTGCAAGCCCCAGAGGGCAGCACCTGTTGTGAAGGCATTCCAGAGTGTGCCTACCACGGCATAGGTGAGGATGGCACCCAAGTTGTCAAAGAACAGCCTGCTAGGCATGAAATAGCCCGAGTCCAACACAATAGGAGGCAGCAAGAAGAGGAAGAAGGTACCCGGCTCTAGCTGGTACTCAGCTTTCTTGGCCACAGCCAAAACAATGCCCCCTAGCACCAGGCCCAGCAAAATCAGCAGGCAGCTCTCAGGGACCAGAGATGTTACTTTCCGAGACAGGTGAAACACTGCAATGCAAAAAGAGGACAGGGTGCATCAGTTTATGGAATATCCTCCCGCACCTAGGCGTATACCCTCCCAGTCTTAGAAGGTTAGTCAAAGTCAGGATTCCTGACCCTGGGACCAAGGGAGGAGAAATATGCAAGACTTCTAGAATTTCCAGTCTCCAGGGCTACTCCCTCCTCTGCAGTCAAAGTCATCTGTTTGTTAGTGTTTCTGTCACAACATGGTAACCTAGGTCTTTACTGCTTTTTCCTCTTCTAGAAATGTCCCTTCCTCTCTACTTTCATTCTCAGGGAACCTCACTTTTCTCTGACTTCCCTTATCCATAGCCACTATTTGAACCTCAGCAAATGCTACCCAGTATCTTTCTATATATAAAATAGCTGTAAAAATCAGGGCCTTTGAAGTCAGACTGCTTGGATTCAAAGCCTAGTTCTGTAACCTTAGGGCAAATAACTTCACCTCTCTGACTCTCAGTTTTCTCATCAGCGAAATGGGAGTAAAAACAATAATGATCTCACAAGATTATTGGGACCATTAAAAAAGATAATATACAGGCTGGGCATGGTGGCTCATGCCTGTAATCCCAACACTTTGGGAGGCCAAGGTGGGCAGATCACCTGAGGTCAGGAGTTCCAGATCAGCCTGGTCAACATGGCGAAACCCTGTCTCTACTGAAAATACAAAAATTAGCCGGGCGTGGTGGCTGGTGCCTGTAGTCCCAGCTACTTCAGGAGGCTGAGGCAGGAGAATCACTTAAATTTGGGAGGTGGAGGTTGCAGTGAGCCAAGGTCATGCACTCCAGCCTGAGCTACAGAGTGAGACTCTGTCTTAAGAAAAAAAAAAAAAAAGGCCAGGTGGCATGGTGGCTCACACCTGTAATACCAGCACTTTGGGAGGCCAAGGAGGCAGATCATGAGGTCCAGAATAGAGACCATCCTGGCCAACATGGTGAAACCCCCTCTCTACTAAAAATACAAAAATTAGCTGGGAGTGGTGGTGCACACCTGTAGTTCCAGCTATTCGGGAGACTGAGGCAGGAGAATCACTTGAACCCAGGAGGCAGAGGTTGCAGTGAGCCAAGATCGCGCCACTGTACTCCAGGCTGGCGACAGAGCAAGACTCTGTCTCAAAAAAAAAAAAAAAAAAGAAAAAAAAAGACAATCTACTGAAAAGCACTTAGCACACTACTTTACAGTAAGCACTCAATAAATTTACCTATTTATAAGTCCTAACTCCTTAACTAGACCAGAATGTATTTTATACCTCCTAGGAGCCTTGTAGACTCCTAGCCCAATATGCTTTCCATTATATGGACTCGCTCAGGACTGCGTAAAAACTTTGGGTTTAGCAGTCAGGAGATCTCCAGGTCTCCTTCCAGCCTTAGCACATTCTGTGTGTTCTCAGGCAAATATTTAACTTACGTGAATTTCATCTTCTTCTTTTGTAATATAGGAAAAATACCCAGCATCAAGGGTGAGGATAAGATGATATAAAGTATGCAATATGCCTAGCATAATGTCCGACACATAGTAGGTTCTTACCAAATGTTAATAGAACAGTTCTGTCTCTAGGAGGGGAGAAGAAAGGGTTTCTAGCACTATTGCCACTCATATTTTTGTCCTCTAAAAGAAAATCTTTGGCTCTCCTTTAAGTTCTCAGACCACAAGTGAACACCTCTCTCTCTACATAATCCCTGGTGTGCTGGGGGAGGCCTCTAAATTAGCCTGTGTGAGACCCTATGCCAAGACAGTACCCTTTGAAAGCTGTACCCAAAGGGCCTAGAACAGTGCCTGGCACATAGTGAGCTCAATGTAAATATTTGTTTAATAAAAGGGAAAAAGTCTCCTAGCAATGAAGCTGGGGGAAGGTGTTTCTGAATGTTCTGCCTTTCCCCCCACTTTTAGGATTTTCTTTGGCTTGTGAAAAGGAGGCTCTCTTCTCTACTTCCATAGGAGATGTCATCCAAACTAGAAAAAGAACAATGATTTAGGGGGAAAACTGCAGTTGTTGCTATAAGCTCTAAGACAGTAACTCTTCTGCAACTCAGTCTTCTCAGCAAATCCAATTGTTGGCTCCAAATCTGAGGCTCCTTTCACTCTTACTCTCATTGCTGCTGGGCCTCTAAGGTAAGCGTGGTCATAGATCTCTCCATACTTGTCCCTACTTTGGTCTCCCACTCCTCTCCTTCAGGGATCGTATTTCATCTGCATCTCTATGCATTAACCCCAGCCCTTCGATCCAAGCCCCATCACAGAACCAGGCTTCCGGGAGTCCCACTTTCCATTATGAATCTCAGGCTGCCACAAGAGTGGAGAGTTCTGTTCCTGCCCAGCCCCCTCACCCCCCAGCATTGTCCCTGTGAGAGAAGGGAGGCAAATTCTAGGCTCTGGGTGATTCCTCCATGAAGGCTGTATTGGTGAGATTGGAGTACAGGCTGTGCCAGCATCCATTGGGAGAGAGTAGCAACGCTCAGCTATAATTAGTCACCCCCACAGCAGAGCCTGCACAACAGGGAGAAGGGGGAGGGTCTCTGGTGGGAGGAGGGACCACTGGCTGCTCCGAAGGGAGGAGGAAGGAGCAGAGGCAATGAAAAGCAGCTCTATTCAGGGAAAAAGAAGTCTGAAGCACAGCCTTCAATGCTGTCAGGACTGAAGAGGTCGGAAGTATGAAAGCTTCTAGGGTAGGCAGCACACAGGGAGCCCCCGGTACATGGAAGTTTCTTATACCCTGAAGTGGGAAGAATGTGGACCTGAAGGGGGGGTCCCCACACACAGGCACGAGAAGGCAGCAGCTTTAAGTGGGGAGCAGAGGAGAAGTGGCGGTGGTGTAGTTTCCCAAGGGAATGGACACTCAGACGTGGTCTCCAGGGAAGGCTGCTTCTTCAGAACCAGGATGCCTGTGTTCGTGGGAGAGCACCCTCCCCTCAATGTCCCCACATGTCCTCACTGCCGACAGAGGTTTCTGGGAGGCCGAGGATTGGTGGGGGAGAGACCAGACTGAGGAGGGCCTACTGCAAGGGGAAGAGGGATGCAGAGAGGGCAAAGGAGCCTAAAGATGGAGTTGGGGAGAGCAGGGGACAGCCCTTCAGAAAGGCAAATCCTCAGAGCTCCCACGGGAGAAGACAGGGACCAGGGACCCACAAGAGGCAACGCAGGAACTCGGGGAGAGCCCGGATTTGTGGAATCCAAACCTGAGTCCCGGCACCTTGCAAGAAGCCAGCCCCAATCTGAGGACTGAGGAGGTGGGGGTGTTGGGGGCGGGTCCGCCGCGGGCCGTTGGCCTGGCGCACGCACACACGCACTTACCGATTTTGGCCAGGCTGGCCACCAGGATCCACAGGGCTACCAGGTAGGGTGCCTCGACCTCGTGCCACTGCCAGCGGAAGAGCTCCAAGCCTGGGAGAGGCTCCCCCGGGGACTCCGGCTTCTGGGTGGGCTCTTCGGCCGCCCCCGCCAGGGGCAGCGCGAGCAGGGACAGTGCGGCGCGCAGCATCCTGTCTCCTGCCCAGCCGCCCTCCCGGCACCGCACGGCCGCCGGCCCCGCGTCGCCGCCGCCACCTACCGGGCGCCCCCGCGTCACAGGCACGTGGGCCCCGCTCCCCCCAATCCTGGCTCCGATACCCCCAAGCCCAGTTCGGGCTCGGAGACCCTGCCCCGGACGCCCGTAGTCTGGGACCCCCTCCTCCTTCCTCCCTAAATCAGTCCCAGCTCCGGAAATTCCCGTTTAGCTCTCCCCCAAGTTCCACAACCTACTCCTCCGAGTCTGCTCACCCAATACCGCTGCCACCGGATTCAAAGCGGTGCGCGGTCACGACCCCCTGGGGCAGCCCGCAGCGGGAAGGGCGACGGTTCGCCGGGGGGCGCGGTCAGGACGGGAGGGGCACGGCTCCTCCTCTGCCAGCGCTGCGGGGCGACTAGCAGCCCTCCCCTGGGGCCCAGGCGCGGCCGGCTGCAGACGGCAGGGGACCGTGCCCTGCCGCCCTCGGCGCCGCGCTCCCAAGCCCGGGACCCCCCGCCGGCCCCCGCCAGGACCTGAGCTGCGCACGCGCACTGGATGCTCCCCCAAAGCAGTGATGGACAACGCTGCCCCCGACGTCCCCAGAAACCCCAAAGCCCAGACTGGCCCAGCTTATTCCAGGGGAAGAGGAAGGCTATTCTTCATCTCCCAAACCGAGGGGCACCTGGCTATCCCTTTCAATCACACTACAGGGAACTGTCTCATCTCTTCCATGAAGCTGACAGGAACCTATGGCAAACCCAGCCTGCTGATTCCCTTCAAACTAGGCGGGATGCACCCAGCCTTTTCCAAATCTGAGGGGCATTCGGCTCATCTCGCACCAGAGGAGGATTGTCTCCACTTTTCATTGAAGCTGAAGGGCACCCATCCCACTTTTCCTCCAAATCTGAGGGGAACGTGTTCTATCTGCCCCCTCAAACTGACTCATCCCATCTTTTCCCAGAAAACTGAAGGGCATCTTTCCCTCTTCCTCCCACAACTAAAGGGAACTGATCCCACCTCTTCCTTCAAACTGAGTGGAATCTATTCTCACTTCTTGCTCCAAATTGAAGGGACCCCCCCCCACTCACTGCTTTCCCCAAATGAGGAAACCACATGCACTCATACCTCAAATGGAAGGAACGAGGATCATCTTGTCCCTCAACTGAGAGAGGCCTTGCCGGCCACTATCTAAAGAAACTTCTCCCCCATCTGTCTTAACACCCCTCAAAGAGAACACAGCCTCACTACCCCCAGACCGATGAAAGCCTCCCGCCCTCCGTTCCTTCTCGAAGGCGGGGCGCGAGCTCGGCTTTTCCCGCCCTCCTAGCCAGTGAACTAACGGGATTCCCGCTGGGCCCTGTGAGTGGCTAACGCCAGCCCCGCCTCCGGCGGTGGTTACCTCCACGCGCGCAATCGGGGACTCATCTTGGCTCCACCCCCTTCCTCGGCCCTGCCTCCATCTGGCCCCGCCCCTCCGGCCGCGTCCGGTCCGGCCCAGCCAGAACAGCGGAGCTACAGTGTGCTGGAGTAGAAGCTGCTGTGGGGCCAGGATTCCGAGGTGCGCCGCGCGAGCCGGCGGCAAAGCCATGGCGGGCGGGGACAACCGCGGGGACGGGGAGCAGGTATCAGTGGTGACCGTGAGGGTGCAGTACCTGGAAGACACCGACCCCTTCGCGTGTGCCAACTTCCCGGAGCCGCGCCGGGCCCCCACCTGCACCCTGGACGGGGCGCTGCCCTTGGGCGCGCAGATACCCGCGCTGCACCGCCTGCTAGGGGCGCCGCTTAAGGTGAGGGGTGCTGGAGAAAAGTTGGGGCGATCGGGGGTTTGGGGTGGGCGCCATGAAAGCTGGTGGGAGGTACACCTCGGGAAGAGGCTGGAGCAAGTGCTCTCCCGAAAAGTCTTGGGCTGGGGTCCCAGGGTCCACGCTGCCCCTCCTGCGGGGGAGACACCTCCCAAGTTGAGGGGAAACTGAAGAGGGGTGCTAGAAACTTGTCCCCAGCATTCTGGCCTCCCTTCGAATTAGGCGCACCTGGGGAGGTGCTCGAGTTCCACTTGCCATCCGTTTGCCAGGGTGGCTTCCCTGGTCAGGGTGACGGTAGCTGTTGGGCTGTGGTGGACCCCGGAGGCGGAGCTGGGGAGGGACCAGCTTCCACCTGCTTCAGGTGAGGTGGGGGCGGGACCACGAGGAGAGGCGGGCCCGGGGCTGGCTACTAGAGGTGGCGGAGGTTTCCCGCGGTGTCATGAAGCTGGATTGGGGCTTGACCCTGTAGGTCAGTGGGAACAAGGGAGTGCCGGCCAGGGAGAGACTTCACGGAATGAGGGGAGTCCCCGGGAAGCGGTCTAGCCTGGGATTCGCAGAGCGCAGGAGGCTGCACGGGTGGAAAAGCCCTTTGAGTCACCGCTCCTGCTCCCCATCCCCCGACACTCGCCGCCCATCGGCCGGCTCCTGGAAGTGAGAGGGAGGGCCAGGCTAATTTTAAACCGCCGGCCTGCTCTACTTTGCCGCCGCCCCGAAGCCGACTTGTGCACTGTGAGGGAAGAGGCCCTTTCCAGATGGCCAGCCTACCTCTTCTCCCCTCCCTCTCACCGCCCTCAGCCCCCGGCAAGCAGCCCTTTCTGGCACGCTGTTTCAGGGCCAGGACTCTGGGAGGCGCACTACCACCACCCCCAGGCTCCCCGCCAGCCCGGCCGCCTCGAGTGCTGGGGAAGAGGAGAGGGAGTCGGTGTGGGTGCCCTCCCCTGCTCCCAGCCTCAGCTGGGAGCCGCGTTGCGTAAACTTGCCCCTTGGGCCCAGGGTCTCCCTTGGAATGTGCCCCCGGCCCCCAGCCCGCATTCCTAGCCCTGCCGCCGGCCCCGCCTCCGAGCGCTGGCGGGAGGGGTGAGACTTTTGGCCTGGGGAGTGGCCCCCCCACCTGGCTTCAAGGCCAAAGGATGCAGCACACTGCCTACCGCCTGAGTTTTGACTCAGACCCCACTTGTCCTGCCCTATTCTGAGGCGCAAATTGAGGTGTGCTTGGAAGAAGCATGTGCAGCTGAAGGCCACCTCCCATTCAGGCTGGGGGCTGGGAAGACAGGAGTGCTGAATTGTGACTGGTTCCCTCTTCCAGGCTCCTAAAGTCCTGGTCCTGAAATAAGGGTGGGGCACTAGAGAAAAGATAGTATTCCTCTCATCCTGCCACTTAAGGATTGGACCTAGCCCTGACACCCTCCACCCCCGCTTTTTTTTAAAAGATGGATTCTGGCTCTATCGCTCAGGCTGGAGTGCAGTGGGGCCATCTCGGCTCACTGCAACCTCTGCCTCCCGGATTCTAGCAATTCTGCCTCAGCCTCCTGAACAGGCATGCGTCACCACGCCCACCTAATTTTTTAAATTTTTAATAGAGACGGGTTCGCCATGTTGGCTAGGCTGGTCTCAAACTCCTGACCTCAGGTGGTCTGCCTGCCTTGGCCTCCCAAAGTGCTGGGATTACAGGCATGAGCGAGTGTGCCCACCCCCTTGATGCCCCTCTTCCCAACTGGGGGCAGGCCCAGGAGATCAGCTGCAAGAAAGAGGCTCAGAACCACCCCTTCCATCTCATCTCATGGGACCTGTTTCCCCACCTGACCCCACAAGGTGCTCTGCCCTCTGTTCCCTGCTCCTTTGCTGAGGACACTACAGAGCTCCAATGGAGAATATAAGTTTCCCATCCCCAGTGCAGTCCTTCCTGGTCTCCCCAGTTTCATGTTCTCTCACCTGGAGTACCTGAGGACTGCCTCCCCTCCCCCACAGGGATATGGAGGCGGTATACTAGGTTACCACAATACCCAGAGCCAGGACTCCCTGGGGCTAGCAGCTCTGCCAGGAATGGTCAGATGCACTGTGATGTGCTCAACCCAAATATAAACTGTGACCACAGCCCCAGAATAGAAGGCTGGAGGAAGAGGGGCTGAGAATAGGGCAGGGGCAGGAACATCAGAGAGCTGAGCGAGGGGGAGCAGGGCCCCTCCTTGCAGGAAATGTCAACAACTGGTTCCTCCCATAGTCCTATAAGTGGGTGCCCCAGAGGCACAGACATGACTCAGGACTGTCTTGCTGGCCCTCTAGAGGGGAAAGGTGGCCGAGAAGCCCAGGCATCCCTGTCCCAAGCTGTAGGGCAGAAATAAAAGGAGGGAGTTCTCTCTACTCATTGCTTTATCCTATGTACAGTTGTCCAGCAGAGGACAGGAAACAGCAAAGTGGCCTCTGTCTTCCTCCTGAGTACTGGCCCTGGGCATTGGCCCTGATCATCCCAGCAGATGACCCCCCAGCCTGCTTTCTCCCTGGGGCTCCACCTACATACCCTTTTGGGCCAAGCCCAGCCCCTAGAGTTCCCCTGGGGGCTTCCTTTTTATAGAGTTTTCAGGTCTGAGAAAGCCTTGCTCATTTCCTCCTAGTCTAGGAGGAAGCTCCTGGCCACAGCCTCTGACTCATCTCCTGGCCCTGGTTAGTGGAGGGAAGCCTGACAGTGCCTTGGGCCAGACCTAGTGTTGAGGGGGAACTCAGGAGTGCCTTCCTCCCGTTCATACAAAGTATTCTCCCGGCCCAGGGACCTGCCTTTGCCCCAGGGGAGAATGTGTCCCTCTGGCCCTGTATCTCATCTCCTAATCCAGAGCTTCCCAGTCCTACCCTCCCTTCTGGGAAGCATCTCAGGAGCCTCTCTCTGATACCCAAGGCCCTCACCACACCAGGTATAGCACTGACTTTTTTCTCCCTGAGCTCTGGGTAGGGGGACCTGGAGTGCTTCCATGACCCTGCTGCAAAGCCAGGCAAGCCCTCTCCCCCTGGCAGTGGGGATGGCTTTAGAAATCTGGTCATTATGAGCAACTTTGTTTCCCTAGCTGTGGCTAAAAATCAGAGCAGGACAGTGCCATCACTGTCCTGAAATGTTTCCTGACCCTATCCCAACCCATCTAGCCTTTTTACATCTCAGGAGTCTTTGGGAGACTGTAGAAAACTGGGGTGTGGGAATGAGCCCTGGTCTCCTCCTGGCCTCCTCTGGGGCTGGTCCATCCAATCTGCTCGTTATTCTGGAACAGAGTGGCTGAGCTGCAGCCTGGTGAGGGACCCTGGCACTGTCTTGGCAGAGGTAGATACTATTATCCTAGCTTATATGAGGTATGTGTGTCTACTGGTGTTCCCTTGCTGGAACTGGGAGGACCAGTTTGGAGTATTTACAGAGTCCAGAAAGCTAAGAGGATGTCTTCAGCTCTTGGCAATCCTGCTGGTCCCAGCCCTCACTCCACCTCCCCTCTAGGGTTCCCTGGAGCACTTCTAGGGCCCACCTGCCCAAGATGGCCTCAATTAGCCATGGCTCCTGGCTATGCAGCCTGGGGCAATGTGCTAATTTTCTCATTATTGGTTTCCCTATCTGTAAAAGGATTACTGGTAGAATCAAATTAAATAGACAGCTCAGGCTGGGCTTCTCATGGCTCATGCCTGTAATCTCAGCACTTTGGGAAGCTAAGGCCAGAGGACTGCTTGAGGCCAGGAGTTTAAGAACAGTGTGGGCAATATAGACCCTATTTCTATTTTTAAAAAAAAAGAAAGAAAGAGGCCCAGTGCCACAGAGGAAGCATAATGAAAAGATAACAAAAGTGGATTTCCCCCCTCACCAAGGGCCATCCATGTCATCTCATTCAGGAAGTCACGCTCTAGTTGGAGACCCATGATAACAGGAAAGGAGGGTCTTCAGAACACCGGGTCCTGTGTTTATAGGAAAGGAGACAAAAGAGGCAGTTAACCAATTATTTTTTAAAACAGAAGCCCTTCAGCCTATAATCCCATCCCTTTTCCATCTTCCCTGTACCCTGCTCTAGTATGTTCAGTCTTACCTGATTACACTGTTATTAAAAATATTGGGTAAGATAGTACAAAAAACAAGAGGAAAAATATATATATTAGAAATATATATTAGATAATAGATATATGTAATGGGTACCTAGATATATATATATTAGATATGATAGATATATACATAGGTTATCAATACCTATAGACATCTATATTATAGATAGATGTCTATAATATAGATCTAGATACATATCTAGAAAGAGAGAGAAGTGGATGCCATGTTCCCCTGAGCTTGATCTTGCATATAAAACCATATGGTTACCAGTTGGTTCTGGGCTGCCAGAAAAGCCTGGGCCTGGAGAGTCAAGAGAATAGTGGGCTGGAGGCCAAAGTGAGAAGCTGAGTCTGGGAAGAATGAGGGAAGGACTCTACCCCAAGACAGAGACCAGAGAAGTGAGGAAGATAAGAGCCAGGAAGGTGTCAGGGATGTGGGTCCATACTACATGCTGACCTTAAGCCCTGTCAGCAAGGACCAGGGTTTGGGCTTATTCAGGCCTGGCCCAGCCCCAGGGTGTGAGAAACAAGGCCCAGAGGTTTGGCTTTCTCAGAACGGTGACCCCAGGAAGGGGCCAGGGGTGTGAGAGACAAGTACCATCTTGCTGGCAGGAAGTCTCCTGCTCTTTGCTGCTTGCCTGACTCTAGCTTACCATCCCCCACTTCTACACAGGACTGACAGCTGGGGGTGGGGAAACTCTGTCCTGGAAGGCACTGGACTGCCTGTTTTCCTGGACCTCCTCCCCCCCAGAAATGGGGCCCTGGTAGGATGAGACAGGCAAAGTAGCTGAGGAGGACACTGCCATGACGACAGAGACAGGGTTGAACCTGCTCAGCTAAGAAGACTAGAGAAGGGGGACAATTGGCTGAGTGCATGACTCACACCTGTAATCCCAGCACTTTGAGAGGCAGAGGCTGGTGAATCACTTGAGGTCAGGAGTTCAAAACCAGCCCAGCCAACATGCTGAAACCCCATCCCTACTAAAAATATAAAAATTAGCCAGGCATGGTGGTGCACGCCTGTAATTCCAGGTACTTGGGAGGCTGAGGTAGGAAAATTGTCTGAACCTGCGAGGAGGAGGTTGCAGTGAGCTGAGATCTTGCCACACTGCACTCCAGCTTGGGAGACAGACTGAGACTCCAACACAAAAAAAAAAAAAAAAAGGTGGACCACTTACCTTTCAGGACCCTGCCCCAAATGGATGCAGGTGTCCCAGTTTTCCTGGAAGGAGAGGGGCCATTCTCTGCTCCCTTGGAATTAGAGCATGCAAGAGCACAGGACAGTGTGGTGAGCCTGACCTTTCTGGGGCTGTGCTGCTTCAGCCTGTGTTTGAACTGTTGGCCAGTTCAAAGCCGACCTTATACCTGGGTGTGTAAGCAGTTACCAGGTGTAACATGATCTCCCCTCCCATTTATCTTTATAGCACTCTGCCCCTCCCCTTTCTTAGCACCCGTGGAAGTAGTGATTTTGTGTTTTCTGTTAAGTCTGCCTGTCTTCCCCACTGGACTACAAGGAAGGAAGGGAAGGCAAAGGCAGTGTCTGATTCCTGCTAGGTCCTCTGCATCTGAAACCAGTGGGTTTATGAATGTTCAAATGAATTGGCTGTTCTATGATTTGGGGGGATCCCTGACGGGGGTGGCTCTGGGGGAAGTGTCTTCCTCTAGGGTTCCAGAATCCTCCAGGCCAAGGGAGGGAGATATGGCTGTGCCTGAATGGGGGTGGGGAGGTAGGCTGCTGAGTCACTGTGTGGGAAGAGAGATCAGGAGGAATGTGGGCTGCCCTCAGCTGAGCTGGCCCTGGACAAGATACCCCAGCCCTCAGGCCTTGCTGCCCCTTCTCAGGCCTGTTCCCAGTAGGCTGTGGAGAAGATGACTCTGCTCCCAGGGAGGGGAAAGCGGCCAGGCCCGCCCAAGGCACCCTGGGGAGGGCATGCAGCCAGGCAGGAAGTGGGACAGAGAACAGGCTGGAGTGTTTGTCCTATGTCCCAGGTCCCAGGCGAGGGGGTGTGGGGGTCACCCACAGGCTAAACTGTGGGGAAGGAGCCAGGTCAGACTCTGAGGCAGGAGCAAGGGGTGCTAAACAGAGGTGGGAGCTGGGGCAGGAGCTGGCCACCCTTTTTCCCCAGGGGTCCAAGGCCAGTTGGAAGCCCTTGGGCGGGGTCCAGAACAGGGCAGGGCTGACCAAACAGCAGGACAAATGTTGAAATCGACATGCCCAGTAAGATGGAGCCTGGAATACCCCTTGACTCTTCAGAGGTAGGTTCTCAGCCAAGGCATCTCAAGGGCCAGAGCCACTTAAGTCAAGGGGACTTTGCTGAGCCTGCATACCTGCACTGTGCAATGGGGGAGGTATCTGGGAGAGGCAGAGTGCCACCCTCTGACTCAGGAGTCACCTCCCGCAGGCTTCTCTACAGACACTTCTCAAGGGGCCAAGTACCATACCCCGTGTCGGGGGAGGAGGAGAGCCAGGCTCAGGGAGGGAAACATGGGAGATGGACATGTGCATGGAGCATATGCCTGACTGTTACAAAGGCAGGTCTCGAGGTCCTACTGTAGACTGAGTCAGACTCTGAATTATTTTGTTTTGTTTTTGAGAGGGAGTCTCTGTCACCCAGGCTGGAGTGCAATGGTGTGATCTCAGCTCACTGTAACCTCCGCCTTCCAGGTTCAAGCAATTCCCCAGCTTCAGCCTCCCTAGTAGCTGGGATTACAGGCACCTGCCATCGTGCCCGACTAATTTTTGTATTTTGTGGAGATGGGATTTCACCATGTTGGCCAGGCTGGTCTTGAACTCCTGAACTCAAGTGATTCGCCTGCCTTGGCATCACAAAGTGCTGAGATTATAGGCGTGAGCCAGCATGCCCAGCCTTAAGTTTTTATTTATTTATTTATTTATTTTATTTTATTTTTTTTGAGACGGAGTTTCGCTCTTGTTACCCAGGCTGGAGTGCAGTGGCGCAATCTCGGCTCACTGCAACCTCCGCCTCCTGGGTTCAGGCAATTCTCCTGCCTCAGCCTCCTGAGTAGCTGGGATTACAGGCATGTGCCACCATGCCCACCTAATTTTTTGTATTTTTAGTAGAGATGGGGTTTCACCATGTTGACCAGGATGGTCTCGATCTCTTGACCTCTTGATCCACCTGCCTTGGCCTCCCAAAGTGCTGGGATTACAGGCTTGAGCCACCGTGTCTGGCAAGTTTGTTTTTTAACAGGTCCCCTTGTGGGGGTCTCTGAAGTCCAGCTAGGACCATTGTAACTGAAGCCCACTTTGGGGAGGGCAAAGACCCGGAAATCTGGTGGGACTGGGGAGTCTATAGATCAGACCCTGTTCTTCACCCTCTTACTCACTGAGACACACACACACACACGACACACTCTCCTGGATGGGTCTGCACCTCCCAGCCATCTTAACACTTTCTCTCTGGGGGGGTTAATGCTTTGTGACTACAGCTTTTCATCCCACAAAGCTGTGAGCTTCCTCGAACGCAGGAACTTCCTCCCATCTTCTCTTAATTCCCCTTCCTCATCCATGTTCATTAGCTCAACAAGCCTTAGTGAGTGCTTACCATGTGTCAGGTGCTATGCCAGGCTCTACAGATACAGCAGGGAGCAAGACAGATGGAGTGCCTGAATGCAGAGAACACAGCTAGAGGGGAAGGAGACCAGTGGCTCGGATATGAGAATGTTGTGTGGAAGGTCTCCGAGGAGAGCACACACACAGGGTGGAGTGGGTTGCATAGCAACCTAAAGAATAGGTAGGTGTCAGCCAGGAGAGGAAATGGCAGAGACAAAGGGCAAGAAAGCCTGGTGCCGGAGACAGATGGGCTTTGCACATAGTAGGCATTTGAAAAACAACTGCTGAAGGAATGCACGGCTGTAGTGCAGACTGTGTCTCTCTGCCACCCCCCAACTGGGAGGTAAGAGGTCAGGGGTCTTCATACATTCCCCTGCCCCCTCTTCCTCAGTCTCAAGCTGTCCCTTTTGTCCCCAGCTGGAGGACTGTGCTCTGCAAGTGTCTCCCTCTGGATACTACCTGGACCCTGAGCTGTCCCTGGAAGAGCAGCGGGAGATGCTGGAGGGCTTCTATGAAGAGATCAGGTCAGAACTGATGGGGCCAGGGAGGCAAGGTTATCCCCACCCTTGCCAGGGGCTGGCTCAAATGTCAGCAGCTGAGACACTTGATCGCTAGCCTGGGCCATGGGTCACCTCCTGCCCCAGGGAACTATGCCAAGGGAATTCTAAAGCCTGGCCAGTGTTACCTGCTGCCCAAGATAGGAGTCAGGGGCTCTCTCACATACCTAAGAAACACATGTTTGCACCAATCTTCTTGTCTGGCCAACCCTTGGGTCCTTGGTGGAGCAGCTGGGGAGGAAAGAGTTGGGCTGGGGTTGGCATGGAGAGGTCTTTGGCTCCCTTGGTTTATGGGGAGGGATGCTGAGGGATGGGCTGGGAGCTGCTGACGGGGATCCTTGATTCCAGCAAAGGGCGGAAGCCCACGCTGATTCTTCGGACCCAGCTCTCTGTGAGGGTCAACGCTATCTTGGGTGAGTGTGTCAGGGCATCCGTGTCCAGCAACACCTCCTCCCCATAGCCCAGCTGGCTCACTTTCAGGCCTGTGCTGAACAGTGGGCAGAGCAGGTTCAGCTGGATGTGCTTCTTCCTTTCCCTATCCTGACCTCTCCTTCCAGGGCCAGGGTGGGAGTGGAGGGGGGTTCAAGAATGTTAGTACAGACCAAGTATGGTGGCTCATACTTGCAATGCCATTGCTTTGGGAGGTCAAGGTGGGAGGGATTGCTTGAGGCTAGCAGTTTGAGGCTGCAGTGAGCTATGACTGTGCCACTGCCCTCCAGCCTGGGTGACAGAGCGAGACCCTCTTAGACAAAAAAATATATATGTATGTGTGTGTGTGTACATATATATATATATATATGTGTGTGTGTGTGTGTGTATATATATGTATCTATGTATACATATTTATATATGTGACTGTTTATATATATGACTATTCTTTGGTGGAGGTTGTGGTTGTGTCCCAATAGAGGAAGACAGTGAGTCTGTGTCCCCTAGAGGGTTTCATGCCCTACCTTTTGCAGAAAAGCTGTATGGTTCCAGTGGCCCTGAGCTCCGCCGCTCCCTCTTCTCACTGAAACAGATCTTCCAGGTGAGGCCCCACAGTGTGCTGGGGGTGGGTGTGCAGCCCAAGCCTCACTAAACTCCCCCATGGTGCCCTCAGGAGGACCAAGACCTGGTGCCTGAATTTGTGCATTCAGAGGGGCTGAGCTGCCTGATCCGTGTGGGTGCTGCTGCCGACCACAACTACCAGAGCTACATCCTTCGAGGTCAGCCCCACCCCTCCCCCATGACCTCTGCTCCAGCGACCCTTACTGACTCTGGCCATCCCTGTGTCCCCAGCACTTGGCCAGCTGATGCTCTTTGTGGATGGAATGCTGGGGGTGGTGGCCCACAGTGAGACTGTTCAGTGGCTGTACACACTGTGTGCCAGCCTGGTAAGTGGCTCTCCACCCAGCCTTATATCCTTTGCCTATTGCTTCTCTCTGGGCCTCAGTTTCCTGTTCTGCAAAGTAGGCTGGAAGGGAGTGAGTCTGAGGTCTCTCTAAGCCTAGAAGGCACTTCAGGGCTTGGGCCTGGAGCAGGGTCATTCTGTCTAGATTCTCCTCTCTGGGTCCAGCCCCAACAGCCCTTTCCCTTCCCCAGCAGGAGCTGGCACAGGTCTAGCCTAAGCCCCACTCATATGTGCTGACCTCTCCCCTCAGTCCCGCTTGGTGGTGAAGACAGCCCTGAAGCTGCTGTTGGTGTTTGTAGAATACTCGGAAAACAACGCCCCGCTGTTCATCCGTGCAGTCAACTCTGTGGCCAGCGCCACCGGTCAGAGACTGTCCCTTCCTCCCCGACCACTCACAGCCCTCTCTCCTACCTGTCCCCCCATGACACTTTCTGTGTGGCAGGTGCTCCTCCCTGGGCCAATCTGGTGTCCATCCTGGAGGAGAAGAATGGCGCTGACCCTGAGCTTTTGGTGTACACGGTCACCCTCATCAACAAGGTGTGGTCAAGAACTGGGTGGGGTGCCAGCTCTGGGCTGCTCGGGTTCCTGACCTCCCCACCAACCTCAGCCTTGCCTTCTTATCTCCACCCTCCAGACACTGGCAGTGCTCCCAGACCAGGACTCCTTCTACGATGTGACGGATGCACTGGAGCAGCAGGGCATGGAAGCACTGGTCCAGCGCCACCTGGGCACTGCAGGCACTGACGTCGACCTGCGCACACAGCTTGTGCTCTATGAGGTGGGCCGGGCCCTAGGCTCTGAGGGGGACTGGAAGGAGAAAAGAGAGAACTGCAGTCCCCAGCGCCTCACCCCACCTGCATCCACATTAACCACTTGCTTACATCGTGGTCCACCTCTGCTAGAACGCCCTGAAATTGGAAGATGGAGACATGGAGGAAGCCCCAGGCATGGGTGGGCGGCGGGAACGACGAAAGCCTTCTTCTGAGGAGGGCAAGAGGAGCCGCCGATCTCTGGAAGGCGGGGGCTGCCCTGTGCGTGCCCCAGAACCTGGGTAAGTATGAGCCTCCATGGATGGGGGAAGGGTGGATCTACTAGGCAGGGCCCTGTCAGCCGACAGGTCCTGACCCCAACCCCTCAGGCCCCACCCCACTGACAGCCCCTGCCTCCAGCCCCACAGGCCCCGCCTCACCAGTAGGCCCCACCTCTTCCACCAGCCACACCTCCAGCCCTGTGGGCCCTCCCTCCAGCCTCCAAGCTTCAGTGAACCTTTTCCCTACCATCTCTCTGGCACCCTCCGCCGACACCTCCAGCGAGAGAAGCATCTACAAGTAAGTAGGGAGACAGAGGCCACCCTGGAGTCCCCTCTCCCACTGTCCCTCTGCTTTGCGCCTCTCCACGGGCCCTCAACCTCCTCTGCCCAAACGCGTGCTTTCTGTCTCTCTTTCCAGACTTCACCAAACTGCTCCCATTTGGTAAGTGACTGCCAGCGGGTGGGGCTCTGCTCTGACTGGATCTCCTCCTCCTGTGGCTTGTCACTTGTCTCCTGAGTTCTGCCTGTCTTTGCCTCTGGTCATGTCTCCTTTCCCCTATCTGTTTGTCACTCCCTTGTTCTGCAGTCACTGTCTCTTCCTGCACCCTGTCCTGCTTCACGTCAGTCTCTCCTCTCCACTTCCAGTATCCTCATGTCATGCCTTCCCCGCTTCCCACTGCAGCTGGGAAGGAACACCAATATCACTGCCCAGCTCTGTGTGGGTATGAGCAACCATGGAGCCGGCACCACAGTTACCATCTCTTCCTCTCATCCCCCCTACCCAGGGCCCCTGAGAGCCCACCCGTCCCCCAGTCCCCTCCTGGGCAGGCCAGGCTAGAGTAAGTACAGAGGCCAGCCTGCCATGTGCTCAGGGCTTCAGCATTGCTTCCCCAGCAGGGGTTCTACGTGCCTGATGCAGCCAGGGCTGGGGGACTCTCAGGCCTATCCTCTCCTAGACATATGCCACCTTGGTAACCCAAAAGCTAACACTGGGAAGCAATTCACTGGGGCCACGGTGGTCCCTGTGCTTCAATAGTGACACCTTAGCGGCCAGAGATGGGGATGTGGATGCCCAATCTGGGGCTCATTCTGCCATGTCCTCAGCTCAGGAATGGGCAGGGAGGGGACCTAGGGTGCTGTGTGGTGTGGGGATGGAGGGGTTACCTAAGACTGAGGGAAAGGCAGGGACTGAAAGCCAACAGAGGCTGGAGGGGCCAGAAAAGAGGTACTGGATTGCACCCATTATTTTAGCATAAACTGAGTGTTCAATGTTTACCATGAACTTTTTTTTTTTTTTTTTGAGACAGAGTTTTGCCCTGTCTCCAAGACTAGAGTACAGTGGCACAGTATCAGCTCACTGCAACCTCCGCCTCCCAGGTTCAAGCAATTCTCCTGCCTCGGCCTCCCAAGTAGCTGGGATTACAGGCCTATACCATGACGCCTGGGTAATTTTTGTATTTCTAGTAGACACAGGATTTTACCCATGTTAGCCAGGCTGGTTTCCAACTCCTAAGTTCAAGTGATCCACACACCTCTGCCTCCCAAAGTGTGGGGATTACAGGCATGAGCCACTGCCCTTTCCTGGACATAGGCTCCTAGAAGCTACCAGACATGCCAGGGGAGGGACAGCCTGATATAGCCATTGGGACAGCTGTCCCCTTCCCCTGCTCTAAGAGTCCTTGTCTAGTCTCAAGACACTAGCCTGGGCAACACAGCAAGACCTTGTCTCTACAGAGAAATTTTTAAGAATTTGGCTGAGTACCTCATTCACGCCTGTAATCCCAGCACTTCAGGAGGCTGAGTTGAAAGGATTGCTTGAGGCCAGGAGTTCAAGACCAGCCTGAGCAACAAAGTGAGACCCTGTTTCCATAAAAACAAATTAAAAATTAACTGGGCATGGTGGCACATGCCTGTAGTCCCAGCTACTTGAGAGGCTGAGGCTCAGGCCCAGGGGGTTGAGGCTGCAGTGACCTATGATTACACCACTGTACTCCATCCTGGGTGACCAACAGAATGAGACGCTGTCTCTAAAAAACAACAACAAAAAAAATTCAGGACCGTGAACATGAACAAAGTTGCAAGTTAGATGTTAATTCTCCCTCTATTTTCACCTGAGAATGCTGGGTTGGTAGTAATCCTCCCCAGATGTGGAGGACTGAAGAGAGGCTGGCCTTGTGGGGCGGTTCTGGTCTGCACAGCGCATGGACTGTTCCCCCTGTGTGTGTGTGCCTGCAATTGGGGGTGGTGCCCAGGGGCTCAGCAAGGCATGTGCACCTGGGCTGGGGTGTGTCAGACACTGTCACTGACAAGCACCTCCCCTCAGAGCCCGGTTCCTGGAGAATGTGGCAGCAACAGAAACAGAGAAGCAGGTTGCGCTGGCCCAGGGCTGGGCAGAGACATTGGCTGGGGCCATGCCTGATGAGGCAGATGGACACTCAGGTGAGTAGGTGGGTGAGCAGGCAGAGTCTGCCTGTTGCTCTGTTGCCCCACAGAGGGCATGGCACTGACAGCTGCTTCTCTTTCTTTAGATGCCCGGGAACTCTGGGACTCCCCAGAGACAGCCCCTGTACCCAGAACACCCCATAGCCCTGCCCCCCGTGTCCTGCTCCGGACCCAGCGAAGCCTTGAGCCAGAGCCCAAGGCGCCACTGATGCCATCAAGCCCCAAGGCTGAGCCCACCTGGGAGCTCCCTACCCATGCACCCAAGCTCTGCATTGGGGACCTGGACTTCTCAGATCTGGGAGAGGACGAAGACCAGGACATGCTGAATATAGAGTCTGTGGAGGTTGGGAAAGGGGTCCCACCTCCTCCACCCCCACTGCCCCTGTTCTCTGGAGTCCCCCCACCTCCTCCACCTCTACCTCCCCCACCCATCAAAGGCCCCTTCCCACCACCTCCACCTCTGGCTGCGACTCTTCCCCCTTCAGTGCCTGACAGTGCAGCTCTCCCCACCAAGAGGAAGACAGTAAAACTTTTCTGGCGTGAGCTAAAGCTGGCTGAGGGCCATGGAGTGTCTGCAAGCCGCTTTGGGCCCTACGCCACCCTCTGGGCTTCACTGGAGCCCGTCTCAGTAGATACGGCCCGGCTAGAACACCTCTTTGAGTCCCGTGCTAAAGACATGCTGCCCTCCAAGGTAAATCTACAGATCTGCACAGTAGCCCCAATGGAGGTGGGAGGAAATCAGAGCTCAAGGATCTGACCTGTTGGAGCTAGTCACTCACTTCCCATATGGGGAAACCAAGGCAAAGAAAGGAGTAGGGAATTGTCCAAGGTCTCCTAACAAGGGATCAGCAGTGCCCCAGCTAGATCTAGTTGCCTGGGCATGGTGGTTCATGCCTGTAATCCAGGAGTTTGAGACCAGCCCGGGCAACATAATGAGCCCTTATCTCTACTAAAAGTTGGGCCAAGTGCAGCGGCTCATGCTTGTAATCCCAGGACTTTGAGAGGCCGAGGTGGGTGGATCATTTGAGGTCAGGAGATTGAGACCAGCCTGCTCAAATTGGCAAAACCCCGTCTCTACTAAAAATATAAAATGAGCCCGGTATGGTGATGAGTGCCTGTAATCCCAGCTACTTGGGAGGCTGAGGCAGAAGAATCAATTGAGCCTGGGAGGTGGAGGTTGCAGTGTGCCACTGCACTCCAGCCTGAGTGACAGAGCAAGACTCAAACTCAAATAAATAAATAAATGTTAAAAAAGAAAATTGGCCAGGCACGGTGGCTCACTCCTGTAATCCCGGCACTTTGGGAGGCCAAGGCAGGCGGATCACTTGAGGCCAGGAGTTGGACACCAGCCTGGCTAACATAGTGAAACTCCATCTCTACTAAAAATACAAAAATTAGCTGGGCATGGTGGCTCGTGCCTGGAATCCCAGCTACTTGGGAGGCTAAGGCAGGAGAATTGCTTGAACTTGGGAGGCAAAAAATAAAAGTTGGGCATGGTGATGCATGCTTGTAATCCCCGCTACTTGGGAGGCTAAGGCAGGCAGATCACAGAAGATAAACCGCAGTGGGCTATGATGGTACCACTGCACTCCAGCCTGGGTGGCAGAGCAAGACCTTGTCTCAAAAGAATCATAACTCATCCCAATGTCTTACACATTCCAGGGTGCCAGTTTGTCAGTTGTAGGATCATTCGGCTTTTTTTTTTTTTTTTTAAGAGATGGGGTTTCACCATGTTGGCCAAGCTGGTCTCGAACTTCTGGCCTCACGTGATCCACCCACCTCAGCCTCCCAAAGTGCTGGGATTACAGGCGTGAGCCATCGCGCCTGGCCCATCATTTGGCTATTTAGAGGAGGGCCTTGGAGTGCCCTCTTAGATTGTTGTCCCAGCTAGTCCCTTCCTCAGTCTTACACTGCCCTTCCCCCAACCATGCAGAAAGCTGGTGAGGGCCGTCGAACAATGACCACAGTGCTGGACCCCAAGCGCAGCAACGCCATCAATATTGGCCTAACCACACTGCCACCTGTGCATGTCATTAAGGCTGCCCTGCTCAACTTTGATGAGTTTGCTGTCAGCAAGGATGGCATTGAGGTGGGGACACCCAGCTATGGGTGGGAGGTCTGGCTCTCTCCTTGGTAGGTGGGCATGGGCTTGGCATTTCTGCAGGGCAGTCCCCAGACTCTGGGACCTCCCTTAGATGACTGAGGGAGGGGTCAAGACCAATGCCTGAGGCCTCAGGCCTGCACTGAGAGGGCCATGTCAGGCTCTGGCTACATCCTCAGAAGCTACTGACCATGATGCCCACGGAGGAGGAACAGCAGAAGATCGAAGAAGCCCAGCTGGCAAACCCTGACATACCCCTGGGCCCAGCCGAGAACTTCCTGATGACTCTTGCCTCCATTAGTGGCCTTGCTGGTCGTCTACAACTCTGGGCCTTCAAGCTGGACTATGACAGCATGGAGCGGGTACCTGGGTCTTGGAGCGGGATAGACAGTAGGGACAGGTAAGCATCATGACCATGTAGTCTGAGAATCCCTGGTCCCCCATACCAGGAAATTGCTGAGCCACTGTTTGACCTGAAATTGGGTATGGAACAGCTGGTACAGAATGCCACCTTCCGCTGCATCCTGGCTACCCTCCTAGCTGTGGGCAACTTCCTCAATGGCTCCCAGGTGAGTGAGAGTACATGGGGACTGGGAAGTCAGGGCTCTGGAGCCAACCAGGCCCAGGCTCAGAAAGGGTCCTTTCAGAGCAGCGGCTTTGAGCTGAGCTACCTGGAAAAGGTGTCAGAGGTGAAGGACACCGTGCGCCGGCAGTCACTGCTACACCATCTCTGCTCCCTAGTGCTCCAGACCCAGCCTGAATCCTCTGACCTCTACTCAGAAATCCCTGCCCTGACCCGCTGTGCCAAGGTTAGCACCTGCCAGAATCAACCAAGGCCAGAGGAGGCATGAGGGAACGCTGCTTCCTAGGCCTGGTTCCTCCTCCTCTTCCTCCTCCCTATTTGGGCTGCTGTGCCAGGGTTTGGTCCAGCCACCTGCGTGTGAGCTATGTCCTCTGCCAGAAATATTCTTCCCTTTATTAGCCTGGCCACACCTACTCAGTCTTTGGGTCTCAAGTTTCTGCCACTTCCCCCAAGAAATCTTCTGTTCCTCATCATATCAAATTGACTTGTCTGTCTCTTGTAATGCAAGAGTCTGAGTTTTTGGCTATATAAGTTTTTGGATGTCTCCTTAGGGCCCAAGCTGGCCCGTTCTGGTCCAAAGGCAGCCTCAGGCAGTGTCTCATCTACCGGGTGTGGGGAGACAATATGTGCACCCCCTTGCTCTCACAGGTGGACTTTGAGCAGCTGACTGAAAACCTTGGGCAGCTGGAGCGCCGAAGCCGGGCAGCTGAAGAGAGCCTGCGGAGCTTGGCCAAGCATGAGCTGGCCCCAGCCCTGCGTGCCCGCCTCACCCACTTCCTGGCCCAGTGTGCCCGCCGTGTTGCCATGCTGAAGATAGTGCACCGCCGAGTCTGCAATAGGTAGGGGCATGGGCCCAAGAGGGGCAGGATCACCACCACCCTCCCTCAGACAACAAGCAGGACTCACTGTCCCTCCCTACTCCCACCTGCCTAGGTTCCATGCCTTCCTGCTCTACCTTGGCTACACCCCGCAGGCGGCCCGTGAAGTGCGAATCACGCAGTTCTGCCACACGATGCGGGAGTTTGCACTTGAGTATCGGACTTGCCGGGAACGAGTGCTACAGCAGCAGCAGAAGCGGGCCACATACCGTGAGCGCAACAAGACCCGGGGACGCATGATCACCGAGGTGGATGCCCTTCCAGGTCTTAGTCTTGACTGCCACCCCCATGGTTTCCTTCGCTCCTCCCAGCTCACCCTTCTTCCCTCTCCAGACAGAGAAGTTCTCAGGTGTGGCTGGGGAGGCCCCCAGCAACCCCTCTGTCCCAGTGGCTGTGAGCAGTGGGCCAGGCCGGGGAGATGCTGACAGTCATGCTAGTATGAAGAGTCTACTGACGAGCAGGCCTGAGGACACCACACACAATCGCCGCAGCAGAGGTGAGACCCACAGCTGCTGGGGGATTGGGCTCCAGGACCACCTTGGCCTGACCTCCCTATCTTGCCTCCCTCAGGCATGGTCCAGAGCAGCTCCCCAATCATGCCCACAGTGGGGCCTTCCACTGCACCCCCAGAAGAACCTCCAGGCTCCAGTTTACCCAGTGATACATCAGATGAGATCATGGACCTGCTGGTGCAGTCTGTGACCAAGAGCAGTCCTCGTGCCTTAGCTGCTAGGGAACGCAAGCGTTCCCGTGGCAACCGCAAGTCTTGTAAGTAACCCCCCACAAACCCACTGCCCACCTGAACCCCATCAACCCCCTCCAACCCTGTTCTGTCCCTGCAGTGAGACGGACGTTGAAGAGTGGGCTCGGAGATGACCTGGTGCAGGCACTGGGACTGAGCAAGGGTTCTGGCCTGGAGGTGTGAAGGTGCTGCATCCTGGAAATCTATCTGGACCCTGGACTGCAGTGCAAGAGATGACAGAGTGAGGAGGGCCCAGAGCAGAATTCTGGCCCCAGAACTCTGTGACCAGAAGCCATGCCTTCAGCAGTATTAGCTCTGTGTGTGTGCATGTGAGAGTGTGTGTGCGCGCGTGCATGCGCATATTATGCATGTGCATGTGTGTGGGCTCCTTGAACTCACGAGCAAAATAAAATTTTCTTAGCGAATCCAACAGCCTTTTTCTTCTTTCAGGGTCCCCACCAGGCGGGGTCTGTAGCCGGAGGGAATTCCCATAGGACTAGCTCTTCCTGCCTCATCCCTCATCACCCACACAGCCATCAGCCACATTCTAAGCCATTTATTCAATGACCTATAGAGTATAAGCATACCCAATAACTCAGACTTGCTTTTGGCCCCTGGACTAGGCCCTCATTGCTCCAGGCATGAGGAGCTGTGCAGCCTGACAGAGCCACCTAGGGCCAGCAACCTGTGGCCACAATGTCAATGGCTATAACCGCTTCATTTGCCGCCGCTCCTGTCGGCGCTGCCGTTTCTCATTGTGCTCTGGTACTGGGGTGCCACTGTCTGCAGTGAACCAAGGACCTAGCACATTCACCCACAGGAGGTAAAGGGCCCGGCCTGGAGCCTACAAGAGAAACAGTAACTTGAAGCAAGGTGCAGGGAATAAAAGATGGGAAGGGTTAGATGCTGCTTCTTGGGAGCACCCCCAGCCCACATACCAGAAGCCAGAAGGACCAGACATAGAGAGAGAAGCAGCTGAGCACCTGCACGATGGCTGTCAGTAGGATCACATCCTTAAGGTGCCTGCGGATAGAAAGACGTCTGCCAAAGACAGCAGATGGGCCCCAGTTCAACTCCCACCCTTTTCAAGTTTTAAGTAGCTGTGCTTCTTGGGCTATCTGGGCCCCAGCCCTGGGGCCGCTCACCTGGGCTGGCGGTGGGGGACACTCACTCTGCCATGCCCTGCTCCATGTTGAGGTCCATGCCACCATCCATCAGGGCCCCATCCTCAGAGAATGCTGCCCGTGCCATCGAGCTCATAGAGTGGTAGCTGGCCCCATATATTGCCAGACTAAAGCCCAGAGCCAACTGCAGAGCAAGAATGAGGGTATAAAAGGCCAGTCACTAACCCTATGCACTCACCCACCTCCCACCTCCCAGGATGTAAATACTTACCCAGGCCCAAAATGAGGCAGATGAGTAAAAGAAGACCAAGGTCACAAGGCAGTAAATGGCCTGCAAGCAATCATAGGATCAGGCTGGGGTCAGAAGATACCTTCAAACCATGGGTCTCCCTCAACTCTGACCAAGGATTAGGCCAGGCTGTGGGAGGAGCAAGGTTGTTCTTACAGGCTTGAAGTAAGGGCCCTGCTCCCTGAATCCCAAATACCCAGACTCTCCTCTTGACACCCAACTAAACCCAGGAAAGAAGCCTTTGTGTACTTGTAGGTAGGAAGGGCTCTCAAATTCAGCTACGACTGAATTCATTTCTTTTGTGTTTTACTAGTCAGCGCTTTCTATATGCCCAGATCTTCTCTCATTTCTTTCTGATTGGGGCTCTCTTCTAGAGCTCTGTCGGGTATCAGTACTCCTCACCAAGCAGGGCTGAGGACTGGGGACTGTAAGTGGGCATAGAAGCAAGGAGGCAAGCACTTACGTTGGCCCCTAGTATGATCCGCAGGTAGAACTTCAGGGTCTCTCTGTTCTCTTCAAATATCTGCTTCTTCCCTCTCGTGCCCACTTTGCCCTTGGGCTGCAGAGGGATGATGAGATGCCGTCAGGAGGCCACCGTCCTCCTTATTCTCCCCACCAGCCTGGTTAGCTATAGAGCTCCAGCCGCAACTCAGCCAGGTTCCCGTAGTGCTGAAACCTAGCACAATCCCTGGGATGTCCACTCATCCTCCTGTCCACCCTGTCTAGGGCTGACACCATCTCTCCAGCACCCACAGCTAAGAGCGCCTCCTGCTCGCCCTGGAACAATTCAACACTAAGCTAATACCGCCTCTGGCTCCGCTGGTAGTCTGGCTGTGGGCTAACGACTCTTCCAAAGGTACTCCTGAGCAGAGTGCCTCTCTCATGCCTCCGCTGGCGTAGGCCCAATCTGGGCTAACGCCCACCTCAGGTCAGAGATTTCTGGTCTGCTCTGGCACCGAAGCCCACCCTACTCCGGCACTAGTACTGGTATGGTAATGCGCCGCCATTCCCCTGCCCCGCTCTAGTACAGTCTGGTCAGGGGATGGCGTCCCCCTCCGGCCCACCCCACATCCCTTAATGTCCTTTCTCAGTTCTCACTCTCACAGCCCCGGGACAGCTTTGCTGGTGCGGACCCTGCCCTACCCACTCTTCTTACCGCCATGGTGCGAGGCAAACACCCAACCCAGGAAACAAGGTAGAGCGACCGAAACCGCAATCACTAAGCACCACATCCGCAGCGCATACACTTCCGGCGCAGACAGAAGTCGTCAGCTTCTGGGAAGGAAATAGGGCTCACTTCCTTCCTAAGCCCCGCCCCAGATATGCGAGACTACACTTCCCAGAAAGCCTTGCGCGGGGGGCGGAGGAGGCAGGGATGCGATGGCGGAGTCGCTGCCCCAGGAGGTGAGAGGAAGCCGCCCTCAGGCCTAGCTCCGGACAGGCCCCGCCCTCGGGGTCCCGAGCTTTGTGGGAGGGGCTGTCAGATAGCTAGCCCGGCCCCTCCAGCCTGGCGGAAACGACCCGCCCGGCAGATCCCGGGACCTTCTAGCTCTGGGTAACGGCTCTGCCTTTTGGCCACTCTGTCCCCTTAGCTTGGGGGACCGTCCCGCCCTTCCCTGTCGGCCCCAGGAGATGGCTGCCCTGTTACCTCAGCGAGAACAGGCCCTCTGCCCATCTCCTTTCCTTGAGGTGGCTGTCTCCTCTCCCCTCACTTCTGGAAGATGTCCGCTCCATCTCATCGTCCCGAAGGGTAACTGATCTTATCCCCATCGGTCCCTTGGGATGATCTCTCCATTTCCTACGCCCCGACAGAGACGGCCACCCCCTCTCCCTGGCAGTGGGAAACAGACTGCTCCCTCCCCATCAACTGCAGTGATCTCTGAGTTCCTTTAGCTAGAACAGGCCTGTTCCGCATTCCTAGGCCCCTAGTGATGGCCGCCCTCACCTCTTTCACTACATGGGATGTTTGCTCCTTCCTTTTAGCCAGGGACAAGACCATTCTGCCCCCATCTACCAGGAAGATAACAGGTTTTGTCCCAGTGGCCTGTTGGAATGGCTTCACCATCTCTTTTGTCCTGAGGTTGGCAAACCCCTCTCTCTGTCCATGGGAAACAGGCCACCCTTTCCCATCAGTCCTGGAATGATGCTCCCTATACTTAGCAAAAATAGGCCTGTTCCCACCCCGTTGAGCTTGCAGTGCCATCCCTTCCACCCTTAGCTTCAAGGGCTATCTGTTCCATCCCCATAAATCCTATGAGTGACCAATCATATATCCAGTAGCCCCCTTGAAATGGGGCTCATGGGATGGCCACTCCATCCTTATCACTGCCTCCTCTGGTTCCTTTAGAAAGACCACCTCCTTCTTAGGTCAATGAGTATCCCTCCCCTATCCACCCCAAGGGATGACAAGTTTGTTCCCCTCTCTCTTTGTTCTTGGGTTCGCTGCTTAGCCCCAGAAGACAGAATGGCCAGTATCTTAGCTCAGCTCAAAGAGGCTTTCCTTCCTCCCCGAAGAGATTGGGGCTTGACAGTTCCCATCAATACTGTCTTCCCCATGCCCAACCTCCCTGGTCCAGAAGTCTATTCGCCCAGTCATTCTCCTCTCAGTAATGACTATTTTATTTCCCTGACCCCTTCCCTGAGCAAACTCTTGGTGAAAATAGAGGTAGAGAACTGGACTGTTCATCCTTAATTTAATCCAATAAGTATTGGCTGAGCATTGCACCTATGTGCTTGGCAGCTGAGAAGGGAAGGAGCGATCACAACAGGTTGGTGAAGTCAAGCTTCAGGAAGGGCATCCCAGGGAAAAGGCCCACATAGGCAAAAGGAAATAGACATGCTGTGTTTGTAGGACAGTGGGGAGACTGGATTGGGGAAGTTCAGGGACCAGCAAGTCCAATTAGGCATGGACACCTGACAGTGCTGATCCAGGAATAGAGACTGTCCTGAGAGTACTGGTGAACCCTGAAGATTTACGGCAGGGGTGAGCTGAAACTGAAAACTGTTTTGTAGGAAAAATTAACCTTGTGACAGGGTGCAGAATGTATTAGCAAGGATGAACTTGGAGGCAGAGAGTTCAGGTGGGAGACTGTGGAAGGAATCCAGGTTTCAGGTGGTGGAAATCTGAACTACTGAGTTGGGGAAGTTTCAAAGGTAGAGATTTTACTAACAGCAATCCAGCAACCATTTATGGAGCATCTGCTTGTCACAAACACACTATATATATGTAATATTTAATCCCATAAGGCTATGATCTAGATTTTTTTTAAAGTATCCCTATTTTATAGATATGGAAACTGAAACTCAGAGAGGTCAAGTACCTTATTTAAGGTCACACAGCACTATGACAGGAAGTATTGGGGCTAGAATTTGAATGAGTCTAGGTTAGCCTGCCTAAAGCCTGTGCATTACACCTGTATCTGGGAGGAAGGGACAGAAGGGCTTGAATAGTCCAAAGTGTTATCAGGTTGATGCACTGTTGGCATTGAAGCGGGAGTTGGGAGGGCTGTTTTGGGCTGAGGGTAGAATATGAGTTTTGGTTGAGATTAAATTGATGGCTAAACATTTGCATGGACAGTTGGCAATATGGATTAGCATTTGGATAATAAGACAATATGGGAATATTGACTTGTTGGTTATTCCTGTGTTGGTAAACAGAAAACCAAAAGACACAGGTCTGAACCCTAGGAGCCAAAGAATAATCCGAAAATGAGGCAATTGGGATGCAGAAAGGAAGATTCCAGAAGAAAAGAATAGTTAATATCAAATCATTCTAGGCCTCAGTGGCAACCCCTTCCCCAGTTCCGTTTAGGGCTTTGAACCACACCACCCCCTAGGTGGGGAGAAGGGCCTGAGCCTCCCAGGCTAGGTCTTGCTGGGATCAAATCTTAACCAGTGGAGAGGGCAAGGTGGCAGTGCAGAAGATGGCAAAAGAGTAGGGTCTCAGAGCCTGAGCCATGAGGGCAGGAGGACCTATGATTTCCTGAGAATCAGAGTGAGCATAACTGGCCTGCTGTGCTCTAGGTCCTATGCAAGACACTTGGCCATGTTCTGTTTTTTGTTGTTTTTTTTTAAGACGGAGTTTCACTTTTGTTACCCAGGCTGGAGTGCAGTGGCACAATCTTGGCTCACTGCAACCTCAGCCTCCCACATTCAAGCAATTCTCCTGCCTCAGCCTCCCAAGTAGCTGGGATTACAGGCATGTGTCACCACGCCTGATGAATTTTTGTATTTTTAGTAGAGAAGGGGTTTCACCATGTTGATCAGGCTGGATGGTCTTGACCTCCTGAACTCAGGTGATCCACCCACCTCAGCCTCCCAAAGTGCTGGGATTACAGGTGTGAGCCACCACACCTAGCTGGCTGTTTTCTTTAATTCTCACAATAACCCATTTAATCTCACTACAAGTGCCATTTCCCAGATAAGGAAAACAAAGTTCAGAGAGGTCAGTTGGCAGAGTAGAGATCTGAACTAGGTTTATCTGGCCTCAATGCCCAGGCTTTTTCTACCCAGATAGGCAGGAAGTTTGATTCTTATCACTCAGTGCAAGCCTGTATCCAGCTCAGGAAAGGTTTGTTCACAGTAAAGATACCTGAAGCCTGGAGCAGGGAAGTGAATGCTTCGTGAAGCTTCACATCCAAGATAAAGTAGAAGTCAGTGCTCTGGTGCCCTCAGACCCATGGTATTGTCAGCTGGAGTTGGTTCCAAAGACCTCCCAGCTCTAACAGCCCCCAATGCCCTGTCTTTTTCCCTCAGATGCTCACATATATTCTGAGCTTCCTGCCTCTGTCAGATCAGAAAGAGGCCTCCCTCGTGAGTTGGGCTTGGTACCGTGCAGCCCAGAATGCCCTTCGGGAGGTAAGGCACCCACCCTCCCCTGTCCCATCCTCAGTTGTTTCTCACTTCAGCTTACTCATGGCCCTGCTCATGTATCTCCATCCGTCTGTTCATCCATCCATCCATCCTTATATTCTCATATATATATGTATAAATACATATATTCATACATAATTGGCTCTGGGTACAGTGCTGGGGCTATACAGATAAAAAGACACAGTTCCCTAAGGAGCTCACATTACTTGAAGGAGAAATACAAGTAATATGAATGATCATGCTTTTGTGTGCTCAGCGCTATGACACTGGGGCAAAAGAGTTCGATGAGGACATAAAGAAGGACATCCAGAGGAGATTGGTGGTGTCAGGGAAGGCTTCCTGAAGGAACAGGATGAGATGAAAGGTTGGGCTTCTGGGATCAGTAATAGTACAAGTGAAGGCACCATGGTGTGGAATACTTTTGGAAACAATCGCACAAGTTTTGTGTGGCTGAAACTGAGACATGGCAGGAGATGAGGCTAGAACAGAGTCAGGCTGCAAGCTGGCAGATGTACCAGGCAACAGAGCTTGGTTTTCTCCTGATGACCATTCGGGAGACTATTAGGCAGGTGAGTGACACAGTGTGATTTGTATTAGAACTCTGCAGTGCAGAGTGGACTGGGAGAATGAGACAGCGTAGGGAGGAGGCTAGCCAGGAGGGGAATGCAGACATCTGGGCTAGTTTGAAAAGCAGGCAGTGATGGCTCATTGTTTTAATTTTGATTTGTTTATTAGTGAAGTTACACTGTTTTTCTCATTAGCGCACCCTTTGTATTTCCCCCTTTTGTTTATTCATGTTCTATATCCATTTAACTATTAGGGTCTTAGTATTTTTCTATTCCGTTTGTATGGACATTTTCTTTCCTTTTTTTTTATTTTTTCTTTTTTTTTTTTTTTTTTGAGACAGAGTCTCACTCTGTTGCCCAGGCTGGAGTCCAGTGGCGTGATTTCAGCTCACTGTAACCTTCACCTCCTGGGTTCAGGCAGTTCTCCTGCCTTAGCCTCCCAAGTAGCTGGGATTACAGGCACCTGCCACCATGCCCAGCTAATTTTTTTGTATTTTTAATAGAGACGGGGTTTCCCCATGTTGGCTAGGCTGGTCTCGAACTCCTGACCTCAAGTGATCTGCACTTGGCCTCCCAAAGTGCTGTGATTATAGGCATGAGCCACTGTGCCCGGCCTCTTTTTAAATTTTTATTTATTTATTTTGAGATGGAGTCTTGCTCTGTCACCAGGCTGGAGTATAGTGGTGCGATTGCAGCTCACTGCTACCTCCGCCTCCCAGGTTCAAGTGATTTTCCTGCCTCAGCCTCCCAAGTAGCTGGGGCTACAGGTACGTGCCACCATGCCCAGCTAATTTTTCTATTTTTAGTAGAGATGGGGTTTCACCATGTTGGCCAGGGTGGTCTTGATTTCTTGACCTCATGATCTGCCCTCCTCAGCCTCCGGAAGGGCTGGGATTACAGGCGTGAGCCACTGCACCTGCCCTCTTTTTAAAAATTTAATTTAATTTTAAAAAAATTTTGTTTGTTTGATTTTAAAACTGGGTTTTTCTCTGTCGCCCAGGCTGGAGTGCAATGGTGCGATCACATCTCACTGCAGCCTCGACCTCACCAGGCTCAGGTAGCTGAGTAGCTGAGACTATAGATACATATCACCATGCCTGACTAATTTTTATATTTTTAGCAGAGAGGAGATTTCACCATGTTGCCCAGGCTCATCTCAAACTCCTGGGCTCAAAAGATCTGCCCACCTCAGCTTCCCAAAGTTCTGGGATTGCAGGCATGAGCCACCATGTCTACCCCAGAAGTTAAATTTCTGTGTTGTTGGCCAGGCATAGTGGCTCACGCCTGTAATCCCAGTACTTTGGTAGGCCAAGGTGGGTGGATCACCTGATGTTGGGAGTTGGAGACCAGCCTGACCAAAATGGAGAAATTCTGTCTCTACTAAAAATACAAAAAATTAGCCAGATGTGGTGGCACATGCCTGTAATCCCAGCTACTTGGGAGGCTGAGGTGGCAAATGGTTGAACCCCAGGAGGTGGAGGTTGATGTGAGCCGAGATCACGCCACTGCACTGCAGCCTGGGCAGCTAGAGCGAGACTTTGTCTCAAAAAAAAAAAAAAAAAAAAAATCTGTGTTGTTCATTCTGAACTTCCTTTTCTTTTTTACTTCCTTCATTGTTTTCTAAACTTAATGATTCCTTACCCTTTCACCCTTTTCTTCTGTTTTTCTTTTTTTTCCTTCTGTTTTTCTTAAGTAGACTTTATTACTTAGAGCAGTTTTAGGTTTACAGCAAAGTTGTTTCTTCTGCTTTCTGGTTTGAATTTTTGTGTTAATGTTTTCATTGGTAAAATTTATTTAGATTTATGTTATGAGATAAAAAGCTAAACTGATTAATTTTCAAAGAGCCTGAACACCATTTGCTTCTAATCTTCTTCTCTATTGAGTTGTAATCCTCTGTCCCATATTAAATGTGGGTATGTAAGTAGGTTCTGTTGTTGAATTATGTATACAGTGTCATTGATCTCATTGTCCAGAGGAATTTGATTTTGAACATGCTGAAGAGTAAGAATCTAGATGTTGAGATCCACCTGGTAGTTGCATTTCTGGATGAGGAATTCAAGAGAAATGTCTTGGATAATAAATATAGATTTGGGTGGCATTTTGAATGCCACCCAATATTGAAGAATGGGTGGCAGTTGAAGCCACAAATCTGAGTAACTTTCCCCAGGGAGAACATGCAGAACCATAGGAGCAGCAGGCCACAGAGAAACCCCAGGGGAGGACACCAGTCTAAGGGCACCAAAAGGAGACACCCAAAGAGGGGGATGAGGAGATCCCAGAGAGAGGAGGACACAGACATCAAAGGCAGGAGAGCATTTAAGGGATTGAATGAGACCAGGTGTAGTGGCTCACACCTGTAGTCCCAGCTACTCAGGAGGCTGAGGCAGGAGCATCACTTTAATCCAGGAGGCAGAGATTGTAGTGAGCTGAAATCATGCCACTGCACTCCAGCCTGGGTGACAGAGTGAGACTTAGTCTCAAAAAAATAAATACATAAAGGTCAAAACTCCCGTGCTGATCAGTAGTGGGATTGCACCTGTGAATAGTCACTGCACTCCAGTCTGGGCAACATAGTGAGACCCCATCTCTACTAAAAATATAAAAAAATTAGCTGGGCATGGTGGCGCGTGCCTGTAATCCCAGCTACTCAGGAGGCTGAGGCAGGAGAATTGCCTGAACCCAGGAGGCGGAGGTTGCGGTGAGCCGAGATCCCGCCATTGCACTCCAGCCTGGGTAACAAGAGCGAAACTCCGTCTCAAAAAAATAAATAAATACATACATACATACATACATATGTAAAGGATTAAATGGATGATTAACAATGTCAGATCCCACAAAAAGCCCAGCAAAGTGAAGAACAAATAATATCCATAAGATATGCTATCCAAGGAGGCCCAATGGCTTCAGCGATATTTGACATCTGGGAAAAAAAGGCAGGTGGTTTGAGGAGTGAATGAGAGAAGCAGGAAATGTAGAGCAAGACCTCACTGGCAAGAAATTTCTCCATGGAGGCCGGGCATGGTGGCTTACGCCTGTAATCCAAGCACTTTGGAGGCCAAGGTGGGCGGATCACCAGAGGTCAGGAGTTCAAGACCAGCCTGTCCAACATGGTGAAACCCCGTCTTTAAAAAAAATAATAAAAATAAATAAATAAATAAATAAATAAATTTCTCCATGGAAAGAAGGAAATAAGTAGGGCAGGCCAGGCATGATGGGTTGCACCTATAATCCTAGAACTTTGGGAGGATGAAGCGGGCAGATCATCTGAGGTCGGGAGTTTGAGACCAGCCCGACCAACATGGAGAAACCCTATGTCTGCTAAAAATACCAAATTAGCTGGGTATGGTGGTAGGCGCCTCTAATCCCAGCTACTCAGGAGGCTGAGGCAGGAGAATTACTTGAACCTGGGAGGCGAAGGCTGTAGTAAGCCAAGATTGCACAAATGCACTCCAGCATGGGCAACAGAAGCAAACTCCATCTCAAAAAAAAAAAGGCAAATAAATAAATAGGCTGGGCATGGTGGCTCACGGCTGTAATCCCAGCACTTTGGGTGGTTGAGGTGGGTGGATCACTTGAGATCAGGAGTTCAAGACCAGCCTGGCCAACATGGTGAAATCCCATCTCTGCTAAAAATAAAAAAAATTAGCCAGGTGTGGAGGCGCACACCTGTAATCCCAGCTACTTGGGAGGCTGAGGCAGGAGAACCATGTGAACCCATGAGGTGGAGGTTGCAGTGAGCTGAGATCGAGCCACTGCATTCCAGCCTGGGTGGCAGAGTGAGACTCCATCTCAAAAAAAATAAAAAATAGTGAATAATTAATTCTTCAGAGAGTCACTAGAGGAGAGATGAAGGTTCGGGGAGGAGAGAGGTCAGGCATGGAAGATGCCACCTGAGGTGGTGGTAGAGACAGGCTGCCATATAGCAAGCTTCATCTGGGATAGGATGTATTTTGTGTTTTTCTTTTGTTTTTCAGCATTGGTTTGGTTAAAAAAAAAGGATATCACCTCTTCCTGAGGAAGCAGAGAGGTGAGGGTGGAAACATGGAGCTATTTGCAAAGAAATTCCCCAGAGGCATCTCCTTCCTCAGCAGCCCCTTTGTTCCATGGATTTGGAGGCCAGGTTGTCTCAGGAGAGCGAAAAGAGACATAGAGGCTAGGTCTTCAGCAGAGGGTTGAAACAGTCACAGGGCCGGGTGCAGTGGCTCATGCCTGTAATTTCAGCACTTTGGGAGGCCAAGGCAGGCGGATCACAAGGTCAGGAGTTCAAGACCAGCCTAGGCAACATAGTGAAACCCCATCTCTACTAAATACAAAAAATTAGCTGGGTATGGTGGCAGGCGCCTGTAGTTCCAGCTACTCTGGAAGCTGAGGCAGGAGAATCACTTGAACCTGGGAGATAGAGGTTGCAGTGAGCTGAGA